GGATCATTGGTGCGCCAGGTTGCAGTGGCACAGAAGCTGATTGAAGCCGGTGCGAACATCAAGGCTGGGCATTTCCTTGGCAAAGCGTGTCGATGTGTGTTGGTGCATGAATTGCAATCAGGCGGTGGACAAGGAAGAGAAGACAGCCGCCTTGCATGCCACAATCTATGACACAGTGGAGCACTTAGATATTCCAAAGAATCGCCTGGGCAATCACCAAATGGTGCGTCGCCACCGAGCTACATCATCAGTTCGTGTCACTTGGGTTACAGTCGGTTACAGTTGCGAGAGTGTGGCCAGCTGACCTCTGCAGTTCCCGGGAAATGCGATCAACTGCTTGGTTATGTTGGCGCGCATTTTGTGTGAAGGTTCTGAGTCTTCTGAGCCCCAGCAACATGAGCGGCTAACAATGGCATCAAATCCTTGTTTGGTCGAGAGGCCCAGAATTTGAGGTATCGCCGAATGACATGGTCCTCTGTGAAAAGCGTGTGCTAAAGTGTGTAAAAGACGAGAATTGAGGACAAGATGGGCCTGCAGCAGAAGAAGCAGAAGATCCTTGACATGATCCAGCTCCGGGAAAAGGAGCTCGAAAGAGAAGCTGAACGCGAAGCCGAGCGCGCTTTGGAGCTTGAGCGCGAAGCAGTTGAAGAGGAAAGCGAGGTTGAGATGACCCCATGAACGGCCATGATGGCCCTTCGGCTTGGGGCAGATTGGGGCAGCATTTCTGGCGGCGAGCAAAGCTCCTGCCAACCCTCGCAACGTGCCAAGACGGCTCCAAGAAAAGAAGCTTTGCTCATCTCCTTGCACGTACATGGTCATCGATGTGTTGCCAGACGGCAGATGCTATCGAGAAGCCCAGGCATCATTTCCTTTTGGAATAATTATCATAGAGGTGCCGATCTGGAGGCCTGCCTGCCCATAGCAACTGTGTTTGCCATGTTTTTGCCTTTGAAGTATTATGATGTATTATGTCTAAGTTTGAACAAAGTCCTTGTCCAAACGTGCTAGGAAGGAATGGCATGCCTGGTTCAGTGTGCCCATGCGGCCATGCAGCCATTTGGCTGATTCAAGGTATGGTTGGCGCATAGCCCGATGATGAGGTGTTTGTCCATTGCTCGAGTGCTGAATGCCAAACGTTGAGTCTTCTGTCATAATGTTCCGCTAGACAGGCAGGAGCTCAAAGTTTTCATGACTCTGAGACTGCAGCTATAGCCGCCAGAGTCCAAGATTCATCTGGACGCCTTAATCTAGGTCCCCCAGTAGTGCCCTTTTACCCTTTTTTGCGGGAGGGTTCCCTTACTAAAATAGACTACAGAAAAAAGTTGGTACCCTTATTCTAACCTCTCCACTGGAGGACCTGGTCAATCAAGCTAATCTTCTGCGCAGGCGCATGTCAAGCGCCGAGCCAGTGCATCCGCATCCCGCGAACGCCCGTGTCCCTTTTTGAATGGGCCGGCTGTCTGAAGCCATGGGCGCGAGGTGATGCCAGAAGTGCCCAGCATGTGTTACGCAGAGCCGGCGAAATCTGTGTGGATTTTTTACAGCGAGAAATGGACGGGGGCGCATATTCCCGAGATACGCCACGTGCAGTTGTGACAAGTGTTGCTCCCTTGCGCATGGTCCAATGAATTACCCAACATGTGTGCATATCACCTGGGCGTCTTAAGAGGATGTCAGAGACTTTGCAATGGTCCAACCTTAGGTATTCTTTAGTTTGATCCTGAAAACTAACTAGAGGTTAATGGTTCAACCTAGTTTTAAATTTCTACTTGGTGGTCCTTTGGTGGTTGGCGGACTAGAAAAAATGCAATTGGGGGAACCCCACCCCCCCCCCCCCTTTAAGATGAGGAGGATCCTTTTGGTGGGATCCTTAAAATCATTTCACCTTGGCTGTTTCCCCCACCAAGCGCTTCGGCACGTGTGCCACACGTGTGCCACACGTCAGGTGCTCACCGCGCCGAGAGGAGAGCTCTACGTGGCCAGGGCCATCGCGAACCAGGATTCTCGCAAAGAGTAGCGGAAACACGGCTTGTAAAATATATATGTATTGTTTTATTGTTTAAAAAGATAAAGAGATTATGTTCTTTTATTTTAGACATTTATGTATTGAATTGTGTGTAAAAGTTCTGCAAAACCTATAATTGTTGGTCCGTGTCGATGCTGGTAACTTGCTGGTGCAATAGGCAGGGAGAGCGAGATCTGGAATGAACCTGGGGATTCGCTTAAAGGAAGCCACAAAGGATGGTTGATAGTTGATAGAGGTCATTCCCTCGTTCCCTCCTGAGAAGGTTCTCAGCAAGGGAGGCAGTTTACTGCGAAAAGTGTGGAGGAAATTTGATGCATGCGAGCCGGATAAAGAGTCGGATCTTCTTGACGAAGGCAAGCGTGACATCAGAAACCATTTCGAGGGAATCCTGCAACTGTGCCCCAGAAATAAAGAGACAATCTTATGGCCTGGCTGTATGTATCATCTGGATTCCGATGATGCTTCCAAAGCGCATCCACCAAGCTGTTGCAACCATCACAGCTGCATGCAGCCATGGTCGTCGAGGAGTGGTTGCACATAATCTATTTGTTGAGTTTCCTCACCCATTGGGGCCAATTATGCCACCATTGAAGCGAAGAGTGCAGCACTGCGCCTTAGCACTTGCAGCTGCAGGACGACCCGGAAGGCCAACAGCGGCTGCCACTTGAGTTCGTGCAATGTAGCCGCCAGCTTAGCCTGTGAAGTGGTATTTGAGGGTTGGGGGGAGCGAGCGGAAGGCGTTTGTGACAACATGCCGATACTGATTTAATCCGTAGCGGTACCATGGTCGATCCAACAGGGCTCCCTAAATTTATGTTGAATGTCCCTTGTCGGTGCTCGTAAGCATTACCTTGGCTAGGTCCCCCAGTAGTGCCCTTTCTCACCCTTTTTTGGGGGAGGGCTATTCTCCTAAAATAGTCTACAGAAAACAAATCGGGTACCCTTATTCTAACCTCACTACCGGAGGACCTAGTTGAGGCCAATTTCAGGTTTGCAGGAGCTCGCGTTGAGGCGACGATGGGGCCTGCACAGCCCGCGGCGCTGGCATGGCACGCTCCGGCAGGCTTTCGCATCGCTCGCAGCGCTCGGGGAAGAGCCCATGAGACCCTGGATCCGTTTGCACCACGAAATGAAGCCATGGCTGAAACCAGTAGGTTTGTTTGGTATTTACAGGGGAAGCGAATCATTCCAGGTTTCTTAGGTGGCGCAGGAATTCGTCCATCCACAGTATGAGCCCTTTTCCACGCAGCCCAAGGTTCGGTTTGGGCGCACCCTTCAGTTTGCAGTGAATGACACCATGCGAAGCGCGGCTCGTTCACAGGCAAATGGACGTGAAGCAGAACCTACATTGGGTCGAGCCCTTTGAGCGCGGAGGAAAGCAAGTACACGTTGCACTAGTTGCACTTCAAGCGGCTCACGACTTTTAGTGTCGGGATTGCAAGGTAGTCAAGACCTTGCCCAATGGCTCCATGGAGATCAGGCAGGCAATGTGTATGAACCGCAAAAGCTAGAAACACAAGCTCATTGGATTCATTAGGCTCAGACTCGCGTGCTTTGCCAGGCCTGTTAAGGGCTGGTACGACCTCGGAACTCCTACTGGCCCAGGCTGTCACTTGCAATTCGGGCACAGTGACGGTGAACAGCTTGGCAGGAGCCATGAAAGCAGCAGTCAAGCCAAAGAGGCGGGTCCTTTTGCTGGGAAGTAGGTTGCACATTGGCATCATTCAATTGTTCAGGCTGGCGTCTGACGCCGGGCACTCAGTCTTTGTTTGGCAGCTGTTCAGCGGCCGTTGCCTCTCTGGGAAGCCGAGGCCGCTGCGGAAATGCAGAGGCAGACGCACTTGCGCAAGGTGCGAGCCAGAGGCTGTCAGAGGCTGTCAGATGCGAAACTTCAGGTTTGACAGCAGTGTGCGATGTCGGCAACAGATCTTCTGCAGGGTATCTCAGAAGCTGAGAAGGCTGGCAAGTTCAGAGCCTCAGGAGCACTCTGACCGATGGGACGCCATGCTCAAGCGACGTGGGACCCGCGAGGAGCGCAAGGAGAGCACCGAGGAGCCTCGTGTGGAGACGTTGCCCTGTCAACTCGAATAACGACAACACCCCCTCTTGGGTTTTGGAGGAGCCTTGAAGGGCAACCAAAAGAGTATTGCCAGCTGGTGATTTTGAGGAAACACAAAGGGGACGCGTGTCCCTCATGCACAGGTGGGGGTTTGCTGGCTTGCACTGTTGCTCGCGCGTGGCTTTGATATATTTGGTATTCGCACGTGTGCAGTCTATTAGACACGCTTGTGCGCATGTGTGCTCGTGGGCTACGCGGGCTTGGTGCGCCACGCGGGTGCACAAGTGCCATGTCAGGCAAGAAGCGAAGACGACCCTGCGCGCACTCGCCCCGTCCACCTCTGGGAAACACTAGACCCATTCTTTCTCACACACAAGTTTTGAGCCCACAGGGCGCAAATCAAGCAGACCGAGCAACGTGACTCGGGTGGACTCCAACCCGCGATTGCCAAGCGTGGTCTGAACAAGTTTAGCTCTTCGTTTCAAGAAGGACACCAGGATATGCCACATTGCGTCATGGTCCAAACGCTTTTGAGGAGCCGGAGGCCAAGATTCGAGCTTGAGGCTCAGACTCAGAAGTTTGCTTGTAGCTGCTTCTACTCGAATGAAGAAGACTGCTGGACTTACTCCATTTATTCCAGTTGCTTGGTGCCTGCTTTGATCAAGCTCAAATTTAGGGAGAGCAATTTGTTGGCAATTGTTGAGGGTTCTACCCTCCACAGCAGCTCTGCCAACAAGGCACCGTGCCTTCTGACGGTTTCAAACATTGCGGCACTGGCCTGGCTGAGGCCAAAAAGGTGATGTTCCCAGAGCCTCGGCAGAAAATGTGCCGCTGAGTCTTTGCTGTTGATGTGTTTTTTGTGCAGCCCATTTGATTTAGCCCCTTCCACGCTGCTACTTGCTAGACTCCACGTTGCTCTGTTGAAAGTTACGTCAGTGTTTTTACCATCAGCAGTTCGAAGCCAGCTGCAGGCCCAAGAAGGAGACGAGACGGGTTGCAAGAAGCAAGAGGAAAAGCGCCGCAAGGAGAGGGCTTGAGTGACGCAAGCAAGTGATGTAATGATCCTCAATGAGGGTAGGGTCGAGTTGTCGGACGATGAGAAGATCTTCCAGCTGAAGTAAGAAAGGGCAACATGCCCACGTCAGTGCGACCTGTCTTCTTGTTGCGGCTTGCACAACCACTGAGTTTGCCTCTCCTGATGAGTCTTTTTCTCAAAATCCGGGGGCCCTTTAAACCTGGAACCGCCATGTGTGTTTCAGTGTCCGTTTTCTCGAAGCTGGACAGGCCGCGTGTGCCGAATCCAGATGTTTGTTGGCCGACTTGGAGCGTGTCCAGGTGCTCCGGATTCAGAAGTCGAATCAGGCGGAACAGGCGACCTCGAAAAAATGATGCCTCGAGTCATTTGGCCCCAGCGGCTTTTGAGAGATGCGATCCAACAGGAAGGGATGTGGCTGTGGGTCAAAACCAATGGTACCATTTTGGGGTAGGTGAATTCACCACCCATTTTAGAGCCTATTTTAGTGGGGATTGGGATGTTCAAGGGGGGTGCGGGGATTTGACCCATGGCCATGTGGACAAATCGGAAGTTTAGACACGGTTTCCTTAATCCTTGCACATCCCCTGCTTCCCCGGTCCCGCGATTTTTTGGTTTTCCAATTGGAAAGGTGAGATGGTCAAAGGTACCGGAGCAAGTTGAAGCCGACGCAGGTGGCGAGCCAGGATGCCGTAGACAAGGCCGGGCTCGGCTGGCGTTTTCGAAGCAAGTTGTCTCAACAAGATGGGGGATCTTGCCAGCCGAAGAATGGATGAGCAGATCTGAGCTCAATGTTGATTTTGCAAGGAGTCGGTGCTAGTTCACACATTCAAAGGTCTTTTGCCGACATTTGGAGACCAAGCACTTGCGACTCACGCTGGTGTGTCTTCGTGTGGCTGGACCTCGTTTCGGGGCAAGGCTCTGGCCAACTTGGAAGCACGAGAAGCAGCGGAGGTTGAAAAAGTGGTCACCAAGGCTCGACATGAGCTAAATGAGCAGCCGATCTGATTCGGAGCTCCCTTGTGTTGTGTTTGCAGTTCTCAACAAATGCAATCAGCAGACGTGCATTGGCTCGGATGATTTGGGTACCCATTTGGTAGTTTGCATGATTGCGATGATATGAAACATGTTTGGGCAGCAGCAGAAGCGCGGCGGCCAGATAGATGTCTCTTTCAGGAGTTGGATGAGGAGCGTACGCAGGCGGGGCACTGGCTCTGAAACCCGAGTTGTGCATGGAGAGGCACTGCTGATATGACTTGCAACCATGAACCAATGCTTTCAGCCTTACAGCACATCCGGAATCGGCAGCTCCAAGCTATGGGTCGCTTGGTGTCGTTTTCCACACGTGGCTCTCAGCAGCGCTTGATGTGCCCTTTCCATCTGGATCACGCTCGTTGGGTCGGTGTTCTTTCTTGTCATTCGAGCTACCACTCAAAAGGTTCGCATGAGGGTGTGTATTGGAGTGGAGAAGGAAGCCCGCAAAATACCAAGAATAATGTCTTTTTCAAACAACAAAATAGATATATTCCAATGTAAGGATGTTGGCATTGACTCGTTTGGTGCTGACTTGTGCAAGGTCATGCACCTCAACTGTGCTTAGCAGGCTTATCTCAATATTTGGTATTGGCACGTGCAGTCTATTAGACACGCTTGTGCGCATGTGTGCTCGTGGGTTATGTGCACGGGCTTGGTGCTCCACACGTGTGCACAAGTGCCAGGTCAGGCAAAAAGCAAAGACGACCCTGCGCCCACGCACCCTGTCCACCCCGCTTCCTCTCAGGTCCTCTATTGAAGGAAACACTAGACCCATGCTTTCTCACACACACACACATCCCACAGGGCGGGATTCCAACCCACGATTGCCAAGCGTGGTTTGAACAAGTTTAGCTCTTCGTTTCAAGAAGGACACCAGGATATGCCACATTGCGTCATGGTCCAAACGCTTTTGAGGAGCCGGAAGCCAAGATTCGAGCTTGAGGCTCAGATTCAGAAGTTCGCATGTACTCGAATGAAGAAGACTGCTGGACTTACTCCGACTATTCTGTTGCTTGTTGTTTACTTTTATCAAGCTCAAATTTAGGGAGAGCAATTCCTTGGATTCCTTGAACCCTCTTCAGTTGCTTTCAAGAGGGCGACGCAGTACCCAAAAGCCCATGTTGGCATTCTGAGGCCAAAAAGGTGATGTATCCGGAGCCTCGGCAGAAATTGTGCCGCTGAGTCTTTGCTGTTGATGTGTTTTTTGTGCAGCCCATTTGATTTAGCCCCTTCCACGTTGCAACTTGCTAGACTCCGCGTTGCTTTGTTGAAAGTTACGTCAGTGTTTTTACCATCAGCAGTTCGAAGCCAGCTGCAGGCCCAAGAAGGAGACGAGACGGGTTGCAAGAAGCAAGAGGAAAAGCGCCGCAAGGAGAGGGCTTGAGTGACGCAAGCAAGTGACGTAATGATCCTCAATGAGGGTAGGGTCGGGTTGTCGGACGATGAGAAGATCTTCCAGCTGAAGTAAGAAAGGGCAACATGCCCACTGTCTTCTTGTTGCGGCTTGCACAACCACTGAGTTTGCCTCTCCTGATGAGTCTTTATCTCAAACTCTCGTGACGTTTGAAACATTTTTAAACCTAGTACCGTTATGTGTGCTTCAGTATCCTGTTCCGGAAGCTGAACAGTCCTCAGCCTCGAATCTAGATGTTGGCCTTCTAGGTGCTCCGCAAGCAGCAGAAGGCCCATCAGCAGGGCGCGGAGGAACAGGCGAGCGCCTGACAACGAGTTCGCAGGTGACTGTGGTGCTTCGGGTTTTTCTTGTTGCCAGCCGATGGCCTTTGTTCTGGTCGCCTGGCCCAGTACTGAGGGCGTTTGAAACTAGGCTTAGCAAGGTGAGAGCGTGGTCAAAGCAGGTAACGCAAGGAGATGAGAGAGGAATTTGCAGAGACATTGGGCCTCATTGCTAGGATAAGATGTCCCGTTCGTGTGAGGTTCAGTCAAAACATCCAGTAGTCTCTGGCAAGCTGGAAGGGACGTGGGGGTCTCTTGAAGTTACCCACCAAACCAGTGGCACTCTCTAAATGTTTGGGCAGTAGGGCCAACTTCTCCCAACGTCGCGTCGTTCTGAAGCCACCTGTCGCGATGTCAATGTCAGAGGATCATATGGAAATGGTCAAGAGGCCAGCGCATTTGGCAATGCCCAAGAGGCCTGTACCCTGAACGCACGTTGGCCCTAGAGACAAAGCGTTTTTTGAATTCGTAGGACGCCGCCTGACGCAGGCTGTGCCGGAGGTGGCAAGCAGCCTACTGGAGCTGAAGCAGGGGGAGGCCATGGGTGGATTGGACTGAGAAAGGCACCAGTGAAGCGGTGAAAAAGCACGGGGAGGCGTTGTTTGTCATGCTTTTCAACGATTGACGACTGCCGTTTGGAAATTTGATAGGTAGATTGACGACATGCGAAAAGCTTGCGAATAGCAGGTCGCGACATAGCCCCGTTGGCACGCATGCAGATGAGGTATGTTTGTTATTGCTGAGCGGAGCGATTGGCCAACGCACAGGAAACATGAACCTTGTTCTCAGGGTGGATGGGACTTCACAGACGAGGAGCAGTTCTCGGATGATGATGACCAGGCAGGACAAGATGCCAAATTCGGGTTTAGCTGACAGCTTCGTCAACCCAACGATCCCGAACTGGGCCACAATCAAAACCCGGGTAGATGAAGGTTGGTAAGGCGCAGTCCCAGCCAGAAATAGTTTCGGCCGCCTTCTGAAGTCTTTACATGGTTGTGGGTAGGCCATTTTAAGACCGGGTTTTGATTGAATGTCCCACGAATCGGACTTCGAGCCCCGAAGAGTTGCCAGGAACGCTGGGACTTTGATGACCAGCTGGTGGCAGCAGCGCCCAAGGCGCGGAGTTTACTGGTGGCAGCTTCCGAAGTTCCCACTCCCAAGATGTCATGTTCAAGATCATCCAAGAAGGCGTTCCTGCAAAATGTTGGTGCCATTTGGGGAGGATTAACATCCGAAAATATTGGGAGGAAGGAAGGGAGGGAGGGAGGGAGGGAGGGAACACTGAAATAGTTTGAGATTGTAGGCAGTGCTTGTTTGGGTTGGGGTGATCAGCTATGTGTAGCCATCCAGGAGGGGCTGCCATCTGGTGATGAAGAGGATGAAGATACCAAGCCAGAAGCCACTCTGTGGACATCTCAGCTTGAGACTGGCTACTCGTTGCACACCGAGCCGTAGCGCAGATGATATTTTTGTCTTGTGTGTCGTCCTAAAAGGTGGCAAGAAGCAAAACGAGAGATGCGAGCCTAGACGTGGCATTGTTCTTGTTGCTGCCAGGTCAAGCTTTGGGGAGGAGATTGAGGTGTGGGTTTCCAGTGATGGCCTAGGGCCATTGCCGCACCTGCGCAGGTGCTACTGAGAGGCGGCGCCGAGTTCGTGTTGACCTGAGCTTGCGCATGGCTTGAAGATGTCAGCCACTGCAAGCAAAGAGGAAAAGAGAAGCTCTGAGTGCTTGGAGGGACCCAACTGACACGGACACCGCAGTCTTTGCGGGTGACCATGTGTTTGCTCTGAGCCCAGGAATCTCCAAACGAACCCACTGACAGAGAGGCGCGCGCCTCAGCTGCTGACAAGCTTACGTGTATCCAGAGTGAATTCAATCAGAACCAGGACTTCAGGCATAACCCCAAAGCAGGGCATAATTCGTTCCGCGTTCCGCGCTCCTAGGGTGAAAAAGCATATAGTACTCCCTTCTCATGGCAAGAGATGCTGGGCATGAAAGGTGGAGGCGAATGACGGCGGCTCTCCTGAGGCCCGTGCAAATCTTTCTTCCGAGATCGTGCTAGACTGCCACACAAAAGCTGGATGTTCAAACCAAAGGATACGGAAGGTGGTCGTCCATGGGATCAGAAAGGTATAATTTGATTAGCAAGGAGGTTACCATTTGATGGGTGTTGAATCTGGGTCGTTGCTCAAAGCCGTGCTTCAGGTTAGAAGCAACTTGCAGGAATCCAGGTTTGTCAGTATGCACCGCTTGGGACCTGTAGCCATGCTGGCTTTCAGGTCCTTTGGCGCGTATGCCGACTCGGCGTATGTGCGTTCCATAGCTTGAGAACTTTGCAATGATATTCCGCGTGATCGCAACTGGAGCTTTGCTCCAGGCCTTTGCCATATGACACGGCATGAAACTGAGGACTTTAAACTGATTGCTAAAGAGATGGCCTGTCCAAGGAGATGAAGTTGTCCTTTGAGCAGGGGATGGACGGCCACGCTGATGCGTCCTTCTGTGTGTTTGTTGCATGGTTACTGGTGAGTTGTTTCTTTGTTTCCTCTCTCTCTCTCTCTCTCTCTCTCTTTGCCTTTCTGTGCTTCACTGGCCCGGGATGCTAAACCAACAAGCGCTTGAAGTCATTTTTGTCAACCAAAAGGACCAAAAGGCTTCAGCTGACTTGTCGCACCAAGGCGAAGTTTTGTTGAGGGTCAAGTACAGGCCGTCTGAAATGGCAACCCTGGACGCGAAGATATGCTGAAGACCCATGCTTTGAGTTGAGTTTGTATCCCTGAAGGTGTGTGCAGCATCTGCCCCATCGGAGCACGTCCACCTTGCAGAACTCAAGGCTGATGGCGGCATGAGCCGCTCTGACTTCAGGAAATTCGAAATTGATGCCCAAAGGACAGAGGGGGAGTCATTGAACCATCATTCCCTGGTTCCATTGGAGGGCCATTTTGTTCAGGTTGTTTTTTAGGCGGCGTGCTTTTCTTTTGTCCGGGTTGGCGCTTTTTGGCTTTGGCTGGTGTTCGTGACGTTTTGTAACTTTTGGTGGCTTTTGACAGTTTTGGCTTTCCGCGTCCCAGGCATCATCCAAAGCCTGCCCTAAACCCACCTTAAAACAAACGGCCTAAACCCGCCCCAAACCGTGCTAAGCCCCGCATAAAACCCCTAAACCAGCCGTAAAAACACTACGGATATCACCTTATATCATCCCGGACAATTCCTAGAAACACCCTAAACTAAGCCTAACTGAACACAAATGCAAATCTAGACCAGCCCTAAACCAACCCGAAACCCAACCTTAAACCAAACCATACCAAACCTAAACCCACCCTACGCCAGCACTACACCTCCCTAAATCGACCCTAAACCGCCCCAAGCCCACCCTTAACCCGAGCCTAAACAAACCCCAAGCAAACCCTCCTTCCTAAACCAGCCCGAACGACCCTAAACCTATCCTGTACAACCCCCAAACCAGCCCTCAAAGCCAACCTAAACACCAAAGCATCCCCAAACCCACTAAACCCACCCTAAACCTAAAGCAACCCCAAGCAAACCGTAAAACAAACCTCAGCCCACCCCAAGCTAGGCCTACCCCCACCCTAAATCAGCCCAACCCAGCCTAAGCCTACCCTAAACCATCTCTAAACTCCCTGAGCCCACCCTACACACGGGTGGGTAAAAAAACGATACTGATTTTGAAAACACTGGCAAAGATGGTCAAGGGCCCCAAGGGCTTCAGCTCAACCGTCGATCCGTTTCTCCGGCTGAGGAGTGGGCGTGGGCGACCACCTGATGCGCCGGGCCACGAAGGGCGCGGGTGCTGCGCTGGCAGAGGTGAAGCAGCACGCACCGGACGCGGAGCCGGAGGCACAGGCACTGGAGGAACCGAAATGAAACACGTGGTCCCCCAAAGGTGCCTGATTGAATTGGGGGAGATGGAGTACCACATTGAATGTTTTGGATCATGTTGACAACTGGCGCAAAGAGGAGGGTCCAGCCAATGTGTGGAGAATGTGTTGCGGTTCTCGGTGCTGCCAAAGTGTTGCCATCCCGTCAATTTGGTCAACACAACTTCCAAGTGGAATCCTGAACTCTACTAAGTTACTCGGCGTTAAGCATCCTTTTGAAATTCCAGATTTCTCGCAGGAAGCAACTGCCGTGGCCGTCGAGATCCCAAACAACGTCTCTGCCAAACCCTTCGCTGGGAACTCTTCCGAGGCTGATCCTCAAAGCTCGGAGATCGTGGAAGCGCTCGAGGACTTGAACCTTGCCCTAAGCCAACCGTCTCGGAGTTGTTGTGGGCTTTCCCGCTTTTTTGGTGAGCCAACCGTTTCAGTTTTTGCTGCTTTGTTGGCTTTCCCAGTTGTTTGGTTCACTCTGGGCCGGTGAGGAATGCCTCTCACATGCAGGGCCCAGCGGCCCCAGCGGGCCAGCCGGCGGTGGTGATGGCGGGCATTTATGGGCGCAACGGCGACCGGGGGGGGCGGGGCCCCACGGGCCCTCCTGGAGGCCCTGGCCCCGAGGGGCCCACAGGGGCCTCCATCATCGGGCACACGGGCATCATGGGCATCGGCGGTCTGACAGGTGCGGCCAAAAAAAGCCGAGAAAAACTGGGTGTCACAACTTCAGAGCCGTGGCTCAAAATGGGTTGGAATTCTGGTAAGTGGAAACATGGTTGCCAAAACCCGGTTTGCCCCTGTTGAATTTTGAGCCACACCCTCCCGTGGACTTGACAAATCGGAGTTTTGCCAGGAAAGAAGGGGAAGACCGGGCAGACTGGCGCCAGAGGTTTGCCTGGCACCCCGGGGCAGCCGGGCAGTCCGCCACCAGATTTCCAGAAGTGGCATCGGCTTTTGCAGTATTACGAGCACGTGGTGGGCAAGATGGAGACAGCGGCCACCAAAAACGTGAGAGGCGAGCTTGGTTTTCGATGTTTTCGCGCATGCCGTAGGCCAGAATCATTATGGAAAGAAGAAGGCTAAGCATGGAATTGAGGAGCCCGAGTCTGTGTGTGTGTGTGTGTTGGTGGCGCTAAATGCGTGCAGCGTCAAACAAGGACATAAGGATACGTTGATTTGGATTTTGAACCGTCCCCTCCCCCCGGCGTGTTGAACAGCGTGTTATCACCCACAGACATTCTAGTTGCCACTTGACACCTGGCAGTCTACAATCGGGACGTCTCCATGATGCAGCAGCAAAGCGCTCTGTACAAGGCCCGAACCTTTGCGCTCAACAACGGCTCGCAGGAGTTGCACCACAAGATGGTGGAGACTCGGCGTTGTTGGTGCTGATCCTGTTGCTTGATGCTTGTGGGTTGACCGGTTGATGACGGCTGTGTGTATTGATTGCTCTGACAAAAGAATGTGGCTGGTGAATGACAGAGGAGAGCAATGTCGTGGTGGCAATGCACGTTTGTGCAATGGTAGGTGAGTCACAATCAAAACCCAGGTAGATGAAGGTTAGTAAGGGGCAGTCCCAGCCAGAAAAAGTTTCGGCCGCCTTCTGAATTCTTTACATGGTTCTGGGTAGACCATTTTCATACCGGGTTTTGATTGTGCCTCAGGTGTGGTGGTAGCTGCGCCAGCGGTGATGGTATGTTTAAAGATTGCTGTGGTATGTGTGCTGGTCCCGGTGGTTAGCGGCAGGGTTTGAATGCAACCATCTGTTTTTCGCGGTCGCCTAGCTTCACGGGTCGGGGCCCTCTCTCGAGTGGCATGCCATAAGGACAGCTACAAGCGCATGGTGAAGTCGGTCAGCTCTGCGCAAGAGGTGGATGACTATTTGGCAAGGACGCGCGCAGTACACGTGGCGAATCGAAGGTTCTCTAGGCTAAAGCAGCCGCGCGCATGAAAAGTGTTGTTTTGTTCTGACTTGTCAAGACGGGAAATCATGACCCCAAATTTCACCCCTATACAATCCACTTCTATGTGACATCCATGCAGGTGCGGGCACGTGTTGCGATGATGTTGGTATTCTCACAATGTGCTGTTGGCGGTTCAAGCTGAAGGCATCAGAACACGTTGGATCCCGAACTACACATCAAGCCATTAGCCATGAGCGCGTATCACCTGTGGCTGCCAGGATGTCAATGGCGACTCCATTGGATTCTTTGCTTCTCGACACAGCTGAAACTCTCCGGTCGCCACGCTTGACCCTTCCCCAGTTCTTTGTGCAAGCACGGAAGCCAAGCCAAGACCCGAGCAGTTTCAAGGCCAGCCAAAGGGTTCCGGGGAATTTGAGTCTGTAAGTGCCATACGGCCATGTCGACGCACATCGTGGGTATGAATTTGAATTGGGCACCCTTTAGTGGACGTCAAAATTGGGTTGGGATTCTTGTCCACCAACCACTTTTGAAGTGGTTCCAACTCTCAAGACTATACCTATGTGTATACTATTTATCTATGTATTTGTGTGTGTGTGTGTTTGTGGCCACCAAGGCACGACGCCCAGCGGCTCTATCCTGCCTACCTGGGGACGCAACGTGCTTCTCTGGCCATGCAATCCGTCCAGTATCAGCATTCGTATCAGCAGCCACGGCAGACCAAGAAAAGCTCCACCACGTGGAAAGCTCAGAAACGCGCAGAGCCAATCCAAAAGCGGTGATGGGAGTTGCTGCTCATTGTCTGCTCGAGCTGAGGCGCAGCGCTGCTTGCAGATGGCTTCTTGTGTTGCTGCCGCCAGCTTTTTTGATCGGGTTTCTTGCGTAGTGGCAAATGAGAATCATCCGTTGTGGTGCAGAAACGGCACTCGATCGGGATGTGGGAAGATTGAGCATCGCGCGTCGGAGCAAAATGAGCACTGCACAGTCATACTGCGGCAGACTGGCACTTCCGAGCCTTGGGGAAGCGGGAAGTGCAGATGTGCCAAGGCATTGCTACACGAAAGACCCTGAGTCCAGTTCGATTCGTTGAAATTGGCACCGACTTTAAGGGGTCCCCAGTTTAGATCGTGGCCCGTTTCAGAGGTAGTGCCCTCGCTGGCAACATGAGCAGTGCCCGGCGCTAGGAGCCTTCGAGGATGCAGACAGAGAGGTCTGGCCGCGGTTACGTGCCAAGAGCAGCTGGCAACTGGCGAGATAATCGGAAAGTCAAAGTTCACAGGGATATCTCAGGGGCTTTGAACACCAGTACTTCCTGAAGGCATGCGCGCACAAGCACACAGACACAAAAAAAAGCACGCGCAGACGCACGTTGTCTGAATCCGCTCTCCCTCCTGCCATCGCAACTGCCTTGGCCCTTTGACACGCCAGTATCGCATGAATTAGCGGCCAGGCTGCAGCCAGCGGAGCTGCGAGAACTGGCCATCAAGTGCAGTGGGCCCAGCCGAAATCCGTTGGGTGCCAATTAGAATATCCCCTTCTAGAAGCAAGGCTCATGCTTGGTCACAAGAGCTTGTAGTTTTGCTTTGCTGCTTGCTGCTTCCCGGCAGACCAATTAAGTAGTCTTGATCAGTGAGGAAAGGGTGGTTTTGCCAGCTGCTTCCATCCCCATGCGTTTGACGAGAACATAACCTTGCACAGCCAGGGCTGAACCACGCATCGCAATGCCGATAGCCAAACTTGGGATGTTCCGGGATACTATTTGCGTGGTTGTTTCTGTGTGTGGGTGTCTGTGAGGTTGCCGGTTCCTATGGAATATATTCAAAGGGGGTGGCTTCACATTGACATGGACCACTGTTCAAACAATTGGGTCCGCTTTGGGACCGTGGCTTCACGTCGACACGCCTCATTCTGAAAAAGAAACCATTTTGACCACCTCGCACATGTGAAAAGCTTGAGCTGCACATATCCGCCGAGAGGTCTGAAGGAGAGGGGCCAGCTGACATCAAAAGAATTGATGGATCTGCTGCGCTTGCAGGGGAGCCCGCTACTCAGTTATTGAACTCTGGATTTGCGAACAAAATGCATGGACAGGGACAGGTGAAAGTATGACCCCCTTTTCCCAAGTACTGACTTTATCCTTGCACATGCTTTATTCGAATCCAGGCATGAGGACAAACTGTTGTAGTCTGTGTTTAATAGATTGGCCATTTGTTTTGTCCACGGCTCTTGTCCCAAGTTCAAAGAACAGGGCGGGGACCTTGTGGCTTGGTTTGGCGCTGAACCCGGTGTTAGGGAAAAGCGATAACACACGCAAGATTTCACCTGCCAGCGCTGTCGAGAGTGAAAGCTGCCGCAAGAGTGTACTCCTTATCTAGCTGGTTCATTTGCGGGTTGGTGATCTACCCAACTCCCCTCGAAAAGGATTACCGGAAAGTTCCTGCGCAGGGCAGTGCTTTGGGGCAATCGAGAGCTCATCTCCAGCTAGGATCCCGGAAAGCGAGCCCTTTGCAGGAATTGTTTTTGCTTTTTCGACAGAAACCTGAACCTCACAAACTCTAAGCCCAAAATGCCTTTCAAGAGCGATCTTGGTCTCAGGCCAAAAGGAGATCTTCACTGTGCTGAAGGAGGCTTCGCGGGTTTGTCGGTCTCAAGTGGGAAGTGCGCCCTGACACTAAGGGCTAATGTGGCATGTGGCTTGTACGTATGTGTCCCTGCAATTGTCGCCCCGCTACAGACCAATGTGGCTATGTATGATTATTGAGGGTATACCCGCAGCGCCACATGTCACCAGGCCTTGACTGAATGAATTCCCGGGGCAAAGTTTGAATCATGAATGAGTTCTGCTTATGGGCCCGTAGACCATGGTGCAGCGAGTTCCGCGCCGCTTCCATGTTGCACAGAGAGTGATGAGTGGCATTGGAGGGAGAGAAGGGAAGTCAGTTGGGCGGTTGACCTCAGCAAGTGTTCCTCCAGCCCTTTGCAAGCTAAGTGACATAGCTCAACAGTGTTCAATCTGAGCAAAGGGCCTGTAGATAACATTGTATCCATCTTAGCCTACATATCTTGCGGATTTGGCCCACTTCGCCCTCAAGAGCGGCGATCTCAGTGTGATGTCGGCGTTGTCATGTTGGCAAGTTGCCATCAGGTTCTCATCGCCGAGAGGAGACCGTTTGCAGCATTGCACAGGCTGCTATTTTGCTCCTTCCAGTGTTCTTGCTTAGACAGTTGGCCGCTGCCAATATTTCATCGATGTGTGTGTATATTTCTCTAACGCGTAGTCAGCAGAGTTCTGAGGGCATGAGGCCATTTTGCCACAGAGATGTCGATGGCTCGCATCCGCTGAGATGCTGTCTGCAGGAAGGGCGACTCGCTTGTGGTGAAGCTGAAGCCCAACATTTAGCGCCGAGAGGCGGGGCCTTGGTCCATGGGGCCAGTAGCAGAGCCGCGCAGATGAATTGAATGCACGTGGACACACCACATGCAAAAGATGTTCAAGAGCATACTATCCAAACACCTGGGCGGACCTGGGTTGAGATGGCACGCAATGATTTGCTGCATGTGACGTGATTGGCTTGCTTCATGCGATCCCCCTAGCTCCCTGGCTGCTTTTATTCTCTCCTGCTTCGAGACTGAGAAGCAGCTCATGCCGCAAGTGGCTGTGAAATAGATGGTCGAAACTCCCGGAATTCTGATAGCTGGACATGAGTCTCCATGTAATTGATGTCCACCAAAGATCCAAAGAGTCCTAAGTAAAACCTCCCGCGTTCCCCCATGCGACAAGTTCTCCCCAAAAGAAACACAAGGCCCAGGGGGTGCCTTAAGATGTTGGTCTTCCAGGAACCTTCCGTCCAGCTCCATGCGTGGAACGTTCGTGGTTTCCCCTTCTGCAAACCAGTCAGCCCTTGCCAGGACAACGACTCCTCGCGTGCTGCGAAAACGTGCGGCTGGGATGGGGCACAGATCTGATGCAACGGGGCTGAACACGATCATGGTAACGGTGGCCGCTTGCGCAAGAGTTCGTTCTTATCTCACTGGTTTTAGTTTCTCGATGAAGGAGCTCGAAGAATCAGCATGCCAGATTTCTGGACCAGCTGTATGCGGACTCTATCCGCCGACTGGCCTATGTGTTGTCCCGGGTGACTCAGTATGTTTTGTCCAAATGGAAGGGGGTGCCATGGCAGACGGCCTGAGTCACAAGCCAAGCCACAGCTCACCGATCGTCCGAGCTTTCAAAAGGAAGCCTCTTTTTTGGCCCAGCACGGCATACATTGAGGTCTTCACAGTGAAGAATTTGGGTTTTCTTCGGTGTTACATCCCAAGATTTACAATGTGCATGGCTTTGCAAGCACAGAATGGCTTTGCGCATGGCAAAGCCATCCTGTGCTAAACAGAGTCCAGCTACATGTAGTTCATTGTTACTTAAAAGCTTATTTTCAAGATCTTCCAATGTGTGTTGTTGCCCGTCAAGAATACCAGCATTCGAAGGCATCATGAAATAATAGTTTGTCAAGCTTATATTGACTAAAGTCGCGTGTTTATCAGTTTCATTAAGTTGTTGATATGAGTATAGTTGGTTGATTGTATCTGAAATATGTTCACTCATTATTTCATCTAAATGAAGCATTATATTGTATAGTATCATGTTGAGTTATATTTATCTGTTTTTGTCTATACGAGCTCCACTGGAGCGTTGTCGTGCCATTGAGAGGGAGCATTCTGAAGGTAGAAGTGCTGAAATCTTTGGCTCGAAGAACATAGGATGTGGCAGAATGTCGTGAGTACAGTGATGTACTTGGATGGCGGAGCGCCATTTCCAGTGCTATCTCTGTGGCTTTGCTTGGCCTGGCCCTTGCCATCTCTGCTTTTCTGGTTGGCCGAGCACTGCGCGCGGCGGCGCCGGGTCACGAATCCCATTTCCCAAGGAAACGGGGAGGCTCGGGAGCTACATGAGACGCTGCTGCGGGAGGAGGGGGCCTCATTGCCCCGGCTGGCGGGATTGGAGGGCGCAGAGGTCAGGGTTTTTGCGGCTTTCCGGTTGAAAAATCTGTGGAAACCAATATTTATGGAACCTCCTTGTGGTTGTCCTAAAGAGCCTGGTTGTTTCAGAACCTTGCCGCACTTTGCCCCTGTAGGTGAAGGTGATGTTGGCATCGTTGGAGCACTCCTTGCCACATTTGGGGTGCAAGGCCACTGCCGGGGGCCTTGGCAAAGTCATGGACTTGATCGCTAGGCATCACCCCACAGATATTCTGATGATACACCCCGAAATAGCCGAAGAGGAGAACTTGCAGTATACGCACGACATCGAGCTGCCTTCCGTGCGAGTTTGCGTGGATGGGTGTTGGGAGGTGGTCCAAGTGTTTCAGTCCCGAACCAGGGCTGACTCGGTGCGGAAAGAGTTCTTGCTGCTTTGTCATCCCTGGTTCCAAGAGCGAACCAGGCGATCCATCTATCCCAATCCCATGTCCAGACGACGAGTCCTTCAGTTCTTCTCCCTTTGGAATCAGTCGGTGGGCAAACTCTTGGAGCGTTATAGGCCTGATATCTTCCATTGCCCAGATTTCCACGCCTGCATCGCACCCTGGTATGCCATTCAGACTTTTCCCCAGCTCCGGGTTCTCCTGGTGCTGCACAATGCGGAGTACCAGGGCTCCATTTCCACCGACATGCTGACACCCAGTCACTGTCAGAAGCTGGCACATATTTTCGACGTGTCACCCGACTTCGTCCAACAGCACCTCGTCTCGGAGGGTCGGTTTAACATGCTGAAGGCCGGAGTTGACTTCCTTCTGGAGCACCAGCAGGGACAAGGAGCATGCGCTGTTTCACAGTACTATGCCCAGGACTTGGTTGGCCTTACGACTTCTGACTAGCTTTTTACCCTTGAACTTGTGGAAGGGTTATTGCCCCCACGTTACGAGCCCATTGATTCATTGAGCCCCCCCAACCCCCCTCCAAGCAAAAAGTTGGCAACTTTTTGCGAGTCAAAGACCAAGCCAGAGGAGTGCTTCGCCAGATACAGCCTTTTCTGGCAGCTGCCCAGTATCGATGGCCTGGACAACCCCATGCTAGAGGAGGAGCGGGCGCCTCTCTCCGAAGACATGCGCACAAAGAAATGCGCTGCGAAGGAGGAAACGCAGAGGCACTTTGGCTTGACCGCAAGCCCTGAGGCACGGCTGTTTGTGTCACTGGGGCGATTGGTGAGGCAGAAAGGAGTAGATTTGTTGGCGGACATAGCAGGATGGCTGCTTTCAACCTATCCAGAGGCGCAGCTTATTGTGATCGGACCACCCGCAGATGGCTTTGGATTTTACGCTGCCAGAAAGCTGGAGAGTCTGGCTGCCAAGCCTGAGTTTAGTGGCCGCTTGAGTGTGGTTTGTCAGTTCCTTGAGATCCCCGACTTCCTCAAGTGGGGCGTTGACTTCTGCTTGATGCCCTCCCGGGACGAGCCCTTCGGATACGTGGACATTGAGTTTGCGTGGCGAGGTGCCGTTGCTGTGGGAGCGCAAGCGGGTGGCCTGGGCAAAGTTCCCGGCTTCTATTACGTGGCGCAGAATCGCGAGAACTTGAGGCCAGCAACGTCCGCTGATTCGACAGCGTCCATTCTTATGTCGGGTCGCGGCCAAAGAATCTCATGATCAAGGCAGTTTACACGCATTTCTTCTCGGATCTCACTTCAAAACTTAGCTCAATCTTGTCCAATGCTCGGGAAAGGGGAAAACCGCATCCGCTGGTTTTCTCGCCCGGCTTTCCCGGCTACAAAAGGGCCACTTGGGTTGCCCGGCGTCGCTTCCGGTCGATTCCGGTCGCTGCCAGACGCCTGCGGCGGGAGCTGCGCAGAGCTGTGGCGACAGCCATGGAGGCAAGCCCGGAGCTGCTGCAGAGGACAGAACCGAGGGTTGGTTTCGCCGGCGAGATCTCGGACTTTAAACTTTTTGGGAAGACCGCGTTGGTGGTATATAAGAAGTGTGTGCTTTTGTTTTGGACCATCCACTCTAAGTCTTTGTCTCATGGGAGAATCATGTAATTTCCCCTTGGCTCTTTGGGGTAAGGCTAAAGAAGAAGGGTTGATTTAACCACACCCCAGAAGGGTAAACCCCCCCAAATGGTTGTTGTTTGGTTTTCTTGGTTAATGGGATGTGTGTTTTTGGTTTTTTTCTGGCCGTAGCTTACAACATAATTTTGAGGGAGTCACTTTAAATGGGAGAAACGCCCCCAGGATGGCGCAGGAAGCGCTGCAGAGCTCTTTTCCACTGGAGGCCTGGCAGGCGCGGCTGTCCCACCTCTACCAGGCAGGGTCCGGTTCCAAGTGGTAGCTACGGGGTTGGTTGTAGGTTACCTACTATTCTGACTACCTAGAGGTGGTTGTAGGTCTCCTACTATTCTGACTACCTTTGGTTGGCTACTAGAGGTAGCTTGCAGCAGATGATTGGGTTGCTGTTGGTTGCCCACTATTCTGAGTACCTTTGGAGTCTCTACCATCTGTAGTTTGCAGCAGATTGAGGCCATGTTGCGCTCTCAACGCCTAGGATCACCCCACGGCCACCCATGAAGAACGCAAGCAAGCCTGCATTCTTGTTTCCAGAAAGACCTGCTTGCCACATTGATAAGCACGCCGCGCAAGAGCACCCATGGTGGCCGTGTCAAAACTAGGAGCCCTTCTTCTGACCTCATTATTTTACCATGATCAAAGTCACCCCCTAAGTGGTGGGTTAAAGGGAAACAACTCCATTTTCTGACTTTGATAACTCCCAGACACCGTCAACATAATGACACCAGTTCTTAGTATCCCCTTCAAAAAGGGGACCAGATGTTTGACAACCCTCACATACCTGCCGAATGAGAAGCGCGCCCGCTCGACAGCCCCCCAGCACCGCATGCCTGCGGAATGAGAAGCGCTCTGCACGAAATGTGCTCCAATGATCAGCAAACCGCCCGAAAACCGGGGAAGGGGAGGGGGGTGAGGGTGAGGGGGGTGAGGGTGAGTGTGCATTTCATGTTGGAGGACCTGCTGGGGGTGTTGAACCGCTGCCAGAGCTCAGAGCTGGCGGACATCCGCCCGGCGACCTGGCGAGGACCTTTGTGGTTCCCGGAGGTTGGGGCGCGACAGTCCAGGGCCAAGTCCTACTCCTTCGTGGACGACAGCATGGAGGGCCAGACCGGCAGCTTCAGCCAAGCTGGGCCGCCCTCCCAGGAATTCCTCCGCCAGGAGCGGCCTATGAAAAGAAACACGTCCAGCTTGCTACTTACTGATGTGTGCGATAACTGTTCCTTTCTTGTCTACTCTGCCAGGAGTTGTCAGAGGAAGAACTGTCCGAGCTGGTTCAGAAGAAGCTTGACTTCTTTGAAGCAAAGGGAATAGACGCAGATATCGAAACGATTCTCCAGGCCATTGGGTCAGATCGGGATATCGAGTATGAAGACGGCGCCGTGAGTAAGTGGCTCGTGAGTCAGTTGTACGGCACAGCCCGCATCCATTGGCTGGTGTCTGGTGCGTACATTGCCTGCCCACTGTCCTCGCTGCTGGTCCTGGTGATTGCCATGGAGTGGGGCATCCGGGGTTCAACAGAACTCCCCGAGTGGTTCAAGAGGTTTCCATGGTTCAAGACAGTCTTTGGCTCAGGAGGGCTGGACCCTCCGATCCTGAACATGCTGCTCTTCTCCGTAAGCGCTCTCTCCAGCGCCATGGGTGCTCCGCTCTGGGCGTGTTTAGCGCGCAGGCTGCAGCCCCGGAAGCTCCTGTCAGCGGCGTTGCTGCTTCAGGTGCCTATCCTTTGTTTGATGCTGCTGGTGCATCGCCCGGACGTGTCCCTGGCCGTCTTTGTGGTGTTCTTGCAGGGCTTGGCCAGCTCAGGGTCCCTGATCTTCATCGCCTTCAACTTCATGATGTCCATCAAGGCAGACGTCAGCCATGCCGCATACCGGATGGGCATGCTGGAGATGGTGAGATATGCAGTGACCTGGCTCATCACCGCCTACATCTTCCTCGCCTCGCCCTCCGCCCGCGAAGGTACCAAGGAGGAGCCGCTCCCAGCCATCGTGTACTGGCTCTTGGGCCCAGTGGCCGTGCTTTTGGTGGCTGCCACACTGGTGCCTGGAGTGCTCTTCCTTATGGCACCCGGGCCCTACCGCGAGGACTGGCTGCCCAGCTGGGGACTGCAGCACCTTTGGAAGAAGAAGAGCTTTGTGATCCTGGCCGCCTCCGACATCATCGGATGCCTGTCCCTCTTCCCAAGCACCTGCTACATTCAGCGCCTTGCATGTTTTGGGGTTGGATGGAAACACCGGAAATGTGCGAAACAGGGCACATGGGGAGGGGGTTATTCATGGAGTGCGAACACCTCACATTTGCTTGGCAAAGATTGGAACGTCAGACCATTCCATGCCTCACAAAACTTGGTTCGGGCCGCATGTCAAAAACAGCATGTCAAAAACAGGTGTCCATATTTGTGGGTCTTTTCGGGCTGAAAATACGTTTAGTTCGTCGGGGTTCACAGACCCGCCGGGTCGCACGCGAGGTGGTGGCTGGCGAATGGCTGGCGGGGGGAGGACCTGGCAGTGCTCAGCGCGCTTTTCGCCTTGGCCCTGGCGGGGGTGACCTACCTCTGGGGCAAGGCGCGGCCTTTGGCCCGAGAGAACCGGAGATCTGCACCATCTGGGGCATGGGGAAGTGAGGTTGGTGCAGATGGAGTGAAGAGGTGGATGAATGGGGGAAATGGAAAAGAGGCTAAGAAAATAAGCTCAGGTGATATCCCCAACAGCATGCGGTGCTCTTTTTAGTGCTCGCACCACCCCGCAGCCCTCGCAGAACCTCGTGGAACCCTCGTGGAACCCTGGTGGAACCCTCGTGGAACCTTACCTCAGGGCCACCCCGGACCACCCCGGAGCCTATCTGGGCTCATCGACCCCAAAGCTTTCAGCTGTTGGGGAACCAAGCATGTTTTTAATGAAGATCCCAGTTCTTAGAAAGGCCCAGGTGAAACTCGGCAGAAAAACAAAATCGACAAGGGCCCCATGTTCGGGAGTTCCCTTTCCCGGTGCTTTCGCAAGTTCCTCTCCCTTGCAACCAAAGCTTGACAAGAGCTGAAAGATAAGGCTTGTGGATAACTCCTGCGTGTTGCGTTGTGTGAGTTGTGTGCGTGTGAGTTCTGTGAATTCTGTATGTGTGTGTGTGTGTGTTGGTTGGTTGGTTGGTTGGTCGGTTGGTCGGTTGGTCGGTTGGTCGGTTGGTCGGTGGGTCGGGGGGGCGGTGGGCCGGTTGGTCGGTTGGTGGGCTGGTGGGTGGGTGAGTGGCTGGGTGGCTGGGTGGCTGGGTGCCAGGGTGGCAGGGTGGCTTGGCAGGGTGCTGGGTGGCAGGGTGGGTGAGTGGGTCGGTCGGTCGGTCGGTCGGTCGGTGGTTGGTTGGGTGGTTGTTCTGTGAGTTCTGTGTGTGTGTGTGTGTGGGGTGTTGGTTAGTTAATCAGTTGGTCGGTTGGGTTGGTGGGTTGGTGGGTTGGTGGGTGGGTTGGTGGGTGGGTGGGTGGGTTGGTGGGTTGGTGGGTTGGTGGGTTGGTGGGTTGGTGGGTTGGTGGGTTGGTGGGTTGGTGGGTTGGTGGGTTGGTGGGTTGGTGGGTTGGGTGGGTGGGTGGGTGGGTGGGTGGGTGGGTGGGTGGGTGGGTGGGTGGGTGGGTGGGTTGGTTGGTTGGTGAGTTGGGTTGGTGAGTTGGGTTGGTGAGTTGGGTTGGTGAGTTGGTTGGTGCGTCAAGCTCACTGGTTGAGGGCCCGGGATGGCTGCTGGCTGGCCGCGAATTTTGCAAGGCCCTAGGCATCGCCATTGTGCATGGCGTGGCGCTGCTGATCGGTGTGGCCTTGTTGCTGCCTCCGCCACCCATGCTGCGGGCCATTGTGCAGGAGGAGGCCAGTGGTGCGAAACTGTGCCAGTCTTACACGAGTGCACCCTAGGCTTAGACCCTTGCAAGGCTTAGCCCTTCCAGCCGAGGGAGGAGATTGGGGGTTGTCACTCTTTGTTCTGAAGGTTTGGGACGATCCCAACCATCAACCGGTGCGGCCGCCTTCTTAATTAGTTCTTGAAGCATGGTTCTGGGAGTACGACCATTTTAAGACCGGGAGGTTGAGGGTTGTCATTCTTGGTCAAACCCCAAAGTCCTCAGCGTCCCCAGAGCCCCCGACGTCCAGAGTCCGACGTGTTGGGCTTTGAGGTCTCCACCTTCACCTTCCTGGGCCGCTCCGACGTGGCCCTGGCCATTTGCTGCTGGTCCCTGATCCTCGAGGGTGTGCGCTCCTCCTGCTGCTGGGCCGTGAAGGTGCGGGTGCTGAACAGCCGCTGGCGCCTGCTGAGCTATGGCAGCCTCGCCGTGGCCCTGCAAGGCCGTGCTGGGTTGCGTCGTTAGCGGTGTGTTCAACAACATGTCTCGCCGCAAAGTCATTGTTCCCACATTTGCTGCAACTTCTGATGGCAAACGCTAAGATTGTTCGAGGCAGTTCTACACCTATCAGGAAGTAGAATTGGGGTTCTTTCAGCAATAGTCCTCTATCAACCAGAATGACTTGCATTCCGGGAGTGCAGCTCGTACCCGGGCGCATGAGTTGGTGCACTGTCAGATTTACCCGTCATTCGGCAGAGTCGGCGTATTTGAGCGCTATCCTTGGCTTGACATGGAACCGCAAAGTGCAACAACATCTTGGTGGATTCCTGGAGCTTCTACAGTATGTATGTTGCTTCGTGCACACGGAGATGGTGTGGGCGGAAGGTTTTCAGGATTCCTATCCAAACGGAAAGGGGCCCCACCTGGGCAGAGCGTTTTTCAGGGAGGAAGCCTTACAGTATATCTTCGTGGTGGCATTCATTACATGTTTCGTAGGCGTTCGACTGACAGGACACCACAATCGTCAGGCGCACGTGTAGGCATTTCGCGGGGGCTCGATGTTGTGAAGCCTCGCGTAGGCACTCACTGCGACATGTGCAGATCCCAAATTCGGAAAAATGGTCAGGCGATTTCGCGTAGGCATTTCGTAGTCACGACTTTCAAGATCCAAGAAGGCCCTTCACAGCCCGGCTTTCCTGCTTTTCTGGATCCGGAGGGTACCTCGCATAAATTGCCTTCTATTTTCGCTTACCCAAAAGTTGGCCAATTTGCGAGCTGCTGTGCCACAGTCATGCCACAAAGTTTTTGCAGAGCCCCAAAATATGCTGATCCTCCAGTGTCGCCCAGGCGTGTAGGCAGGTATCGCGGCGCAGGCGTGGCCTCCTCGCCCGTAGGATGCGCCTTTCAGCTAGTCCATTTTTGATAAGCCGCAGCTTTTGGAGGGCACAACATGGTCAGCAAAAAGATGCCTGGCGTCAGACCCGCGTTGCAGAAGCTGGCAAGTTTGCTTCACGGACAAAGTCCGGTGCTGACGTTGCGTTTCAGAAGCCGCTTCAGACTATGTTTCAGAAACCATGGTTCAGAGCCTTTCCTCGCTTCGGAAGCTGCCTTTCAAAAACAACCTTTGTTTGCAACAATGTTCCGATCCGGAAATCTTTCAGGACCTCTCCCCGTCAAAAGTACTTTGCACCACCTATCCTATCCTGGAATTATGTTTCGGACACCATCTCAGCCCAGTAGAACTTCCAACATCAAAATCTTAAGCTCGCAAGGCAAACAGACGAGCACCCACCCCAGAAATTCACTACCAAAATGTAAAAGCAGACCAGGCAAGGAGAACACCCAGCCTACCAGAGCACCCAACACCTGCGCCAGCACCAAAATGCTTTGCGAGTCGTAAGAGAACACTCTCCCGAACCATGATTGCAAAGCAATAGTCAACCAAGCAATGACAGATGACTCCAAATGAGCCACAATCAAACCCCGGGTGGATGAAAGCTAGTAAGGGATACTCCCAACCATAAATAGCTGCCTATATCCGCCTTCTTAATTCTTGAAGCATGCTTCTGGGATTACGACCATGTTATACCGGGTTTTGATTGTCACTCAAATGGGTTCCGAGCCATGACCGTGCTTCCTTGCAGGCGTGGCAAGCTTTGCGTCGCCCTTCCTTTGCGAGTGGCTGGCACGGCGTCATAGCAGCACCTTCATCTCCGTGAATGAGACTCGGGCAGTCCTCGGCATATGGTGTTTCTTGAAACTGTTGGTCAAACCCTCCTTGCGGGCCTTCAACAGACGGCACAAGATGACTCCAAAAGCGGATCCCAGTTTCGAGTTTTGGCCACTCCCTGTCCAAGGTTCGGACTTGCAGCCCCCACAAAGATGATGGCTCTGAAAAATGGCTCAGCGCCCTTTTGGCGCGGCAGCCCAAAAAACAATTCTGCGAAAATCCCAGCCCACAGCCCGAGGAAAAGGAGCTGGCAGACGCTGCGGTGAGCACCATGGTGCCCTTGGGCCTGGCGCAGTTTGCCGTGCAGGCGGCGGGCCGAAGCCCACGTCTTTGCATTCCAAACGGCCTTTGGAGCGAGAGATATTTCAAATGGTTTTTTGCTTTGGATTGCTGCTTTGGTTTGTTGATTTGTGTGTGTGTGTGTGTTTTTTCTCTCGGGGGGGGGGGGGTTGAGTGTTTTGTTCCAGATGTTTCTTGCTTTCTTTGTGCCCTGGGATCTAAATGGCACTCTGCATTCAAGTTGACTGGTAGACAGCCCTTGTTTGGCGCAACGCACAATTGCACGTGTGATCAAAAGGGGTCCGATGGCCGGCTGTCAGGTGTGCGCAGCTCCCTGGATTCGACAAGACCTGGAGGCGTGGGGCACAAGGGCGCTGAAGCGTTTGCACGTTAATGCACATGTCGGTGGGGCATTGCCTTTCACTGCATGGTTTGCCCAAGGGATGGGAGATGTGCTGAATATGTGCAATTAACAAGTCCCGCTGGCAAACTTGCGCTCAGACCCGCTTCAAATTCCTGAGCAATGCCATTCTTTGAATCTAGTATTGGAGGAGACTGATGGTTTGTTATGCTGCTGGTGTCATGGCGGGTCCAGAGAAGCCTGACACGAATGTTCAAGAGACTTGGTCACTTCATGTATTGAAGTTAGGCCCCAACTCTATCAGAACAGGTGTTCGAGAGATGGGTACTGACAGATGTTCCAGGAAGATTGGATTCCTCCGGAGAGAAGCTGCCCAACCTCCCTAGCCCCCTGGATGGTGCATCTCAAAACGGTGAACCTGCTGGATGCTCTATACGATGGTTGTTGAAAGGAACAACCATCAGCAACAGGTCCGCAAGCTTGACACAATTCTACACACAAACACAAACTTGCACTTATACTTGCACTTATACGTGCACTCATGCTGGACACACTTGGCTAAAAACACCCAAGATGATTATGTTCATTTTGGTGTGTTGCATGATTTTCCTTTTCCGCAGAATCCTCATCTTTGGCTCAACATATGCAGCTGCATGTGTGTTGTTCATATCCCCCATCGGCTGATGTCTTCAAGTCAAGCTAAGGTAACCTTTCATTGGTGGTTCGAACGGGTCCCTGCTCCTAAGACGGCAAATGGGAAACCGCCCCATAAGACCGCCAAAAACCACCTCCGGCTCCGGTTCTCGAAAATTTGGGAAACCACCCCTCCACACAACCTGCCCGTTTTCAGATCCCCCGCTAACAGTGAGTCTCACGAAAAGTCATTCGGACACATAGGGGTCCTTTTTGGTTGATTTGGTTGAACAAACAGGGTTTACGTGGTGGTTCAATGAATCAACTACCAGGGACCCCCATCGATTTTCCCAAAAAGGACACCAATTTGTATTCGGACATCTCCACCAAGCTGATCTTTTGGCCTCCCGGGGGCTGCAAGCCATTGGGAAGCTGTCAGGTGGCCTCCTCGAGCTCCTTGTACCGCGAGAAGCCGGCGTCGAGGGTCTGGGTGAAGCAGACCACGCTGCGGCGCCTGCCCCCGAGGCAGGGATCCATGGGGTGGGGCATGATGGGCGAAATCCTCGGTAGGCACCGGATTGAATCCATAAGAAACCGTTTTTTGGTTTATTAGGCACCACGAAATCCTCGGCACCACGAAATGAAACTATGGTTGCTGATTCTGAATCATTGTTTGTTGGTATTCACAAGAAAATCTACCTTTCCAGGGTCTCTTAGGATTTTGTCCATCCACAGTATGGGGGGGGGTCCTCGGGATAGGGGACCATTTAAAAGGGGTGGCTTTTTATAGGGAAACCACCGGATGGGGTCCCCAATTTCGAGAAACACCTGTTTGGCTGTGCTGAGGTCGCCCCAGGGTTGTTCTATGTTGATGTTATCCTGTCATGGGCCAAGACCTTTTCCCACACCCCACCGGCATTGTCCGGCTTTCCAACTAAGACCCACTTCCCTCGCCAATCGCCCAAGCTCTGCCCGAAGGCTGGCCATCGCCTCTGGCTGCGTGCTGGGCCTTGTGGCCTTGGTGGTGCAGGTGGCGCTGCTGCGGAGGCCCAGCGCCTTCGCCCCCGCCCGGCGGTGCCTGCAGGGCTTCCAGCGCCGCCACTGCCGCCCCGTCTCCGATGAGACGGCGCCACGTCTTGCAAGCCAGGGGGAAGTGGCGTCTTACGCAGAAGTGTTGTGTAGGCCGGGGGGAAGGGGCAAGCCATGGGTCAACAAAAATGGGAGGAAGAGAAGCATTGGAGAGGGAGCGTTCTCAGCTCAGATTCCCCCGTAGAGCTGAGCCCAAGGATTTGAGGAGCGCGGACAGCTTCGCCATGTGGGGCAGCGGCCATTTTGGGATCAATGAGTTTGGGCTCAGCAGCACCGGGAAGTTCAACTGCCTCACCCGCATGCGAACTTTGGGCGGCAACACCTTCGTCTTCTGGGCCTCGAAGGGCAGATGCCAAGTCTGGCGCTGCGACGCCATATTGGACGAGCCTACGAGTGGTGAAGGAGACCCAGTTGCCCAGTGGCGCCCGGTTTTACCCTTCTTTTGTTCTTCTTGTTTTTTTTTGGGGGGGGGGATACCCTTAAAAACTCAACCAACCAACAAAGGATGCCTTTTTTTTCCCCATGGCCACGAATGAAGGAGAGGTTTGGTCTCAGCTCTGCAACATGACGGGACAGAACCACGTCATCGCGCACCTCTTCGAGTGGCCCTGGACAGACATTGCCACAGAATGTGAGACCTACCTGGGGCCAGCTGGCTTCACGGCCGTGCAGGTGCTGAGATCAGATGATGGCTGTGGTTGTCAAAACCGTTTTGGGATCCCATTTTGGCTCGTAGGTGAATTCACCACCTCTTTTAGTCTATTTTAGCTTAGTTAAAGATGTTTCCGTTGTAAAAAAAGCTTTGGGGATTGGGATGTTCACTGGGGGTACGGGATTTTGACCCATGGCCAGATTTTGTGTGCTGACTTGCGGACCTCAGAATGTTTCAGGAGCCACGAGTCACACATTCAAAACGCACGGGAGCCAAAAGTCTATTAGCTAGCGGCGCTGCTTGATTGTGTATTTGGATATCCTTATTCGGATGACAGGCAACCAACCAGTCCAACCCGTGATACTACTTATTTGGCGTTGAAGCCTAATTGAAGACCTCCTGAAGTATGGGTGGGCATACATCCCTAAGGCCCTAAGGATTGGGGTCCAGGATCCATTTCCACAACTCTCCCCATTTAATGGGGTAAAGGGTCCATTTCCACTGAGAAGCTCTCCCCATGCCGTGAATGTCTGGGTCCATTTCCACCACTCCCCGCATTCGAAGGTGTCCCCGCCCACGGAGCACGTCATCGGCGACAGCTGGTCCACGCGGTACCAGCCGGTGACCTTTAAGCTGGACTCCCGGTCCGGCAGCCCCCAGGAGTTCACGGATATGGTGGCCAGGCGCCACCCCAAAACGGGAGCCGGGGACGAGCCGACCGGAAGGGAGTTTCGGAGCCTCCCCTGGCAAGAAGTGAAGTAGGTTTCTTTGGAGTGTCTCTGGGTAGGATGTGAATGATCGGTTTTTGAATGGGAAAATGGGGTAGGATTGGCTTCATGGGATTGCACAACCCATTACAAGGGTCATGTGAAATCAGCAATGCAAAGCAGGAATACTGCCCCTGGCGACCTGTATTCTCCTATGAGCGGGGGCTCCTCAAAACAGAGGGGGTGGGGGGGCTGGTGTTCTTCAAAGATATTGGCCACAAGAAGCTGACAGGTTCCCGACAGCGTTTGAAGCTACTTTTGCCTCCACTTCAGCAAGGAATTCAGGTCCCAGCAAGAGGGCACCCTGGCGTTCTTGTTGTCCACCGTTTCCGCATTTCTGCGGCCCTGGCATTCTTAAGTTCTTCGTGCCAGAGTGTTGTATGTGGGCCTGCGAAGGCTGCCTGTAGGAGACGTTGGGCAAGTCCTTTAAAGAGTCAGCACTCATGCAAACCTGGCAGGTGCAAGAAAGCGGGTGTGGAAGTCATGGTGGACGCGATCTTGAATCACATGGTTTGATGCTGAGACACTATTCAGATGCGCAGAAGTCAGCAGTGCCTGTTCATGGGTTAGCAGAGACTGTTGTTTGCCTACAAGGCATCTCCGGTGGCACAGATACCAAAGGAAGATAGGGACGGTGGCAAAAAGTGTGGCGGCACCAAGGCGGGACAGTGATGATAGCACTTCATCAAGCTGAACATGCATGCAATGAATCAGCTGAGCTGAGGAATAAGCATTGTACCATGACCCCTAAGCCCGCTTTGATCTAAACATGTGTGGTGTGTGGTGCCGTGGTGTGGTGGTGCGGTGGTGGGTGGTGGTGTGGTGTGCGCTGTCCGCTGTGCGCTGTGCGCTGTGCTGTGTGCTATGTCTTCTGTGTTGTGTGTTCTGTGGTGTGTGGTGTGTGGTGTGTGTGGTGTGTGGTGTGTGGTGTGTGGTGTGGTGTGTGGTGTGTGGTGTGTGGCGTGTGGCGTGTGGCGTGTGGCGGTGTGTGGGGTGTGTGTGTGTGTGCGTGTGGTGGGTGTGTGTGTGTGTGTGTGCGTGTGTGTTTGTGCCTGTGCGTGTTTGTGTGTGTAGGAGGTGTGGCGTCCGCATGTGCGTGCGCGTGCGTGTGTGTGTGTGTGTATATATGTTCTTGCGTGTTCTTGCTTGTTCTTTCGTGTTCTTTCGTGTTCTTGTGTGTGTGTGTGTGCGTGTGCTCTTTCTGTTTTGTGTTTTTTGTGTGTGTGCGTGTGCATGCGCCTGTGCGTGTGCGTGTGCCTACAGCAGTGCGGGTGTGCGTGCACGTGTGCGTGCGCATGTGCGTGTGCGTGTGGTGCGCGCGGGCGTGTGGTGCCGTGTGTGGCTGTGTGTGTGTGTGGGCGTGTGTGCAAGTGTTCGTGTGTGTGTGTGTGTGCGTGCGTGTGGGTGTGGGCGTGCTGTGTGTGTGTGTGTGTGTGTGTGTGCGTGTACGTGTCTTTGTGTATGCGTGTGTATGTGTTTATGTGTGTGTGTGTGTCTTTGTGTGTGTGTGTGCGTGTGTTCTTTGTGTTTGGTGTTTTGTAATTTTTTTTGTGTTCGTGCGCGTGTGCGCGTGCGCGTGCGCCTCTGCGTGTGCCTAAAACCTAAAGCTGTACGTGCGCATGTGCGTGTGTGTGTGTGTGTGTGTGGTGCGTGTGGGCGTGTGTGGGCATGTGTTGGCGTGTGTGTGTGTGTGTGTGCTTGTGTGCGTGTCTTTGTGTATGCGTGTGTGTGTGTGTAGTGTGCGTATGTGCGCGTATGTGTGTATGTGTGTGTGTATTTGTGTGTGTGTGTGTGCATGTTTTGTGTGTGTGTGTGCATTGTTGTGAGTATGTGTGTTCCTTGGCGTGTGCGTATTTGTTTTGTGTTTTGTGTGTGTGTGTGTGTTTCTGTGTGTGTGTGTTGTTGATTTTCTGTGTGCGTGTGCGTGCGCGTCTGCCTGCGAGTGTGCCAGCGCGTGCGTGTGCGTGTGCGAGTGTCCGCGTGTGCGCGTGTGCGCGTGTGCGCGTGTGCGCGTGCGCGCGTGCGCGCGTGCGCGCGTGTGGGTGTGTGTGTGTGTGTGAGTGTATGAGTGTGTGAGTGTGTGAGTGTGTGAGTGTGTGAGTGTGTGAGCGTGTGAGTGTGTGAGTGTGTGAGTGTGTGAGTGTGTGCTTGTGTTCTTGTGTGCTTGTGTGCTTGTGTGCTTGTGTGCTTGTGTGCTTGTGTGCTTGGGTGCTTGGGTGCTTGGGTGCTTGGGTGCTTGTGTGCTTGTGTGCTTGTGTGCTTGTGTGCTTGTGTGATTGTGTGCTTGTGTGCTTGTGTGCTTGTGTGCTTGTGTGATTGTGTGATTGTGTGCTTGTGTGCTTGTGTGCTTGTGTGCTTGTGTGCTTGTGTGCTTGTGTGCTTGTGTGCTTGTGTGCTTGTGTGCTTGTGTGCTTGTGTGCTTGTGTGCTTGTGTGCTTGTGTGATTGTGTGCTTGTGTGATTGTGTGATTGTGTGATTGTGTGACTGTGTGATTGTGTGATTGTGTGATTGTGTGCGTGTGTGCGTGTGTGTGTGTATTATGTGTATGTGCATGTTTATATGTGTGTGTGTGTGTTTGTTTGTGTTCGTTTTTGTTGCTGTGTTTGTTTTTGTGTGTTTGTGTGTTTGTGTGAGTTTGCGTGTGGGTGATTGGTTGTTTGTTTGCTGGCTTGTTTGTTTGTTTGTTTGTTTGTTTGGTTGTTTGTGTGTGATTGTTTGTTTTTAGCAGGTACGGTGTGTGGTTGTACTTTTCGTGAGATTCCACTTGACTTGATTTGAGCATACGGTGCATTGGACAGGCAAATGCAACGACCTCTTTGACTCCATGCGAGGGTTTGGCCCAAAGCTGTCGTGAATGCTTTCAAGAAGAGTGCATCACTTGACGTGTGTTTAGTCAAGCTGCAGTTTGGAAAATGTGTTTTCTCGTACCACCATTCCTTTTCCTGCTCTCAGTTTGTGCGTGTGTATGTGTGTTGTTTCGTTGATTTGCAAGTTTCTGATGATGCAGCTGTCGAAACTGCAAGGTTGGTCAGGAACGCCCTATGGAAACAGAGAGTTTTTGCATGGCACCGTCCTCAGCTTCCACCAGAGTTGACGGCATGCAGGCTTGCTTGTCACGAGTCACTTCGCATGTGCCAGCTTGTCATCCTATGGAGGACAACTCGGCCTTGATTAGGTACATCTTCAGACGCATTCGGAGCCATGTTCAAACTGTTGGTGTTCCACATGTGTTTTTTCCCCAACAGGTACAAGACCCAAAAGCTCGCCAAGTGAGTCCGAGAGTCGGTGGCCCTGTTTCCCCTGGCCACCGCCATACTGGTTTCCTGCAACCTCCCACACGTTCCCATTCAGCGGCGCTTCATCAAAAGCGTGCTGCGAGTGCCATGTATGGAAATGTAGTGTGAAGTGCGATGCCAAGGCACCCCTGGCATGGATTTCTTCGAGAAGCTGGACTTTCACCATTACGAAGGCTCAGCGAAGTATCAGTTGCGAACAGACCGCGCATTCCAAAGATTCGGCGGTCGAAGCGACGACTCAGTTGGACTCAGGCAACTCCGAGTCCAACTGTGGCTTGCCGTCCAGCGCCCAGCGCAAGTTTCGCCATTGAGACCGGCTGCCGGCTACGGGCTATGCGGGCTGTCGCTTAGGCCATGGACCAACAATCGGTTTCTTTGCGACTTGTATGCCCTCGTGGACCTAAACACAGAGAGTGCCACTGAGCAGCAAAGTCTTCAAGGGGTAAGCAAGATGTTCACATTCTCGGCATGATGCGCAAGGTTGAAGTGCAGATGAAACTGCAGAAGTACTTGCAGGCGCAAATTCATTCAGTGCTGTGGCGAGTAAGTTGACATCTCATCGAACTGAAGGATTTCAATGGAGTTAGTGTGGGCCAGTGCTCGAATCAACTCCGTGTTCTGATAGGTCCTTTTTGCCAGAGGTGTCACAATGTCTGGACCCTTGCTCCAAGTGCCGAATTCAAGCATCACATTTTGGACTTCGCGCACTCAGGTTGCGCTTGGATGCTGGCATGCATGCTGGCAACCAAGAGTTGGTTGCATCCATCCACAACACTCTGAAGTGGCTGAGGTCTATTCTGCGTCCTTCCTGGCGATATTGCATCCGTTCCCTTTTGATTACGTCGCTGAAGCCTGAGTTCTTTCCAGACAGCCATTGTTCCAACTTGCAAAAGGTGACGCCAAGTACTACCAAGTACCTGGATTGTTTGGGATACGTTGCTGCAACAAGTACCTGGATCGTTTTGGATATGAAGCTGGCCGGTTTTGCCGCACTGAGGTGCTGGAGTTCTTTCCGGGTCCCCTGCAGTGCTCCACTTAGTGCGAGCTGAGCGTCCCCCGAGTTGCGCATTGCGGATGCGCAACTCGAGGTTTGAAAAGGGCACTCTGGACAGAAGCACCGAAGTTGGGTGGGGCCCTGAGCAGGGCTGGGGCCAGCTTCAAGGCCTGCTTCCGCCTGGTGTTTTTTTTGCTTTTTGGTTCGGCGTTCGAAAGAGGGAGTCCTATCACAGGAACGGCCTGTTTCCACTGGAGAGCACTGGACCAGGTCACTGACCAACTTCGACTTCGGCTTCCAGGTTTCTCAGGCAGCTGAACGCTTTGCTTGCTGCAGTTGGCCATGGGTCAAATCCAAATCGCACCCCCAGTGAACATCCCAATCCCCACTAAAACAAACTAAAATGAGTGGTGCACCTACCAACCAAAATGGGATCCCTGCGATTGTGAGCTGAATACCAAAGCTGGCAGGCCATGTTTGACTCTTGGAATGGGAAGTGGGTTGACGGGCAGCAGCCTCAGGTCTTGTGCAGGACAGACTTAACACGAGTTTTCCACAGGACAGCAAGGTTTGGAGACCTTCTTCACATTGGATCTCCACTCCCAAGCTGTGTGCCACAGACATGATTGCCTCAGGTGGATTTGTGTAAAATGGCAGTTTGCCTGATTGCTCACTTCTTCACGCGTGTCAAGCGCGCCAGGAATACGCGATCTGCGAATCTCCATATCCCTCAGCCCCCATCTGAGATCTTTAAACATGTGTTCAGTTGTGCGCATGTTGCTTTCAGGAGCATGCCTTGCTGTTTGCCGGGACCTCAGCATTGCCCGAGACTGGATGCTTTGTGAGTCCTTGCGACTGATTGGTCAGGTGGACAACCACGATCAGCAGCGACAGCGTTGGAAGCCGGATAAGGGTGGGCCGCCCGCCAGCCCCGTGTGTCGCCCTGGGCTCAACTCGACCTTGCGCAGCGTGACAGAGAACGGGGACAAGATGGGTATGGGTCAAAATTAAGGAGCCAGGGGCACGCAGGCCGTGGTTTTTGGTTCCATTTGCCAAGGTGCCGTTTTGGTACATGCTTCTGAGCCACAGCCATATTTGGGGCAATTATTGTGGAACATGGATGGCAAAAGAGTTATTCCTCATTGCTTTGCCAAGCACCGAGGTTGGAATGGCAAGGACTGGGCTCACGAATTGATGTTCGATTCAGGCATATCAGTTGGCTGCAGCACCAGGACCCCGGTGACTGCCGGCCAATATACAAGCACGGAGCTGACCTGAGTCTCTGAGAGCGAAAGCCCTTGGACACTCACGACATCAAGCCAGGTCTCGAATACCATCTTGCGCAGCTCTTCATGCTGGCACGGCTCTTAGCCGTGCCAGAGGAAGTTTGACAGGTAAGCTGTCAAAATGACGAGCCCCCGTTCATTTGATCTTGTTTGAGCCGAGAATCTGGAAGCTTCTGACTCTCAGCGGGTTGCTTCTCTGAGGCTTGGCCATATGGAGATGCGGTGCGCCGGCCCTGCCTGGATTAGCGCACAAACGCCCTGTTGGTTGCTTCATGAGGGAGTCCGGGAGTCCACCAATTGTTACATTGGCAGGCATTTACATGTTGACTATGTCAGACCAAACTTATGTTGGGAGCAGGTATCTCTGCATCAGTGCCGGGCACTGCTTAGAGGATATATGGAGTCAAACGGCAGGCCTGATGTCTTCGTATGCCTCCTCCTCAGCTGGACGGTGAGCTTTGCCTTGAGCTTTGCCTTGAGGGCATTAGCAGCAGGGTTGTGGGATCAAGGGGTTTATCCCCACTTCTGTGATACAAGGGAATCCCCTCTTTATACGGGGGGTTGGTCTTTGGGAGGTCGTTATTGTTGTATCACAGATTCGTGGATTCCATTTCAACCACAGCCCGGATTCGGAGTGAATGCACACACGCGATACGCACGGTCGCAGCTGGCAGAAATCTCTCCGAGGCCTTCGACGACTTCGAGCAGGGGCCACCAGGAGTCCAAAATGGGTCCTGGCGCGACAAGCCGCTGTCGCCACTGGCGCCAGTCAGGAGATTCGGGTGCAAATGTCTAGGGGAAGTACATAGCCCTTGTTCAAATACTTCTTGGCTTGCCTGGTTTCCAACCCACTTAAGTTAGGGGTACAGGAGATCTGGGCCAAATTGCACAACCAATTGAACTGGGCGAAGCTGAAGTCGAGCAAACTGCTGTGACACTGGAGATTTGCGAGGGGAAGGCCGACCTTTTGCAAAGGAGATGTCGTTCGACACCCTCCACCTCCCCGGTGACGGAGTTGTATGAGCAGGACATCGACAAATTGTGAAATTGAAATTGTTGTTGGCACTGTCCCTTTTGAATCAAGCTCGTTCACAGCCAAGCTGTTCGTTTTGATTCCCCATTTTGGTTGCTAGTATATTCGCTTGGAGAATCAGGGTAGGCGTCACACACACCTTGCAGGATAAGAGCCACCCGTGGGCACTTGCCTCAGGAATGGCCCCTGCCAAGGGGCATATTTGAGTTAAAGGATGAAAGTAGGCCTGTTAAATAGGTCATGAAGCACCAAAAGTACCAAAGGGGGGCAGGTGCGATAGTATTCAATCTCGACAGCTTGCCGATGTTACGCCCTGGAGCAGTCCTCAAGTTTCAGGTTTGCGAGCACAGATGGAAGGCACGAAGTCAGATTTGCACGAGCAAAGTCCCACTCGTTTCAGGGATTTCGGGCCTAAATAGGCAAAAAATGCGGAGGGGTCATTTTGGAGGCGCTGGCTTGGTGAAGCGCCCAGCCATCAGCCAGCTCATTTATATGTCAACCTGGGTGTGGCTCAATTTTTTTTCGAGCCAGCGTTACGCAGGTCTTGGGCTCTGGTTCAATTTTTACCCAGTCGCCATTTTGGCCACGTCTTTTTGAGAACCACAGCCCATGTGTTTGTGACATTCCAGCAGCGGGCCTGATTTGTACCAGGGCATCCCCGGCTTGGTGCGCTTTCGCCGGCTGCTTGGGCCAGCCAAGGCCGGCGCGCCGGCACGCGGCGCGTATCCAACATGAACATATCCAAGCGCAAATGATGGCAGAATTCCCTTGTTGTTGTGGTGTCCCACAGCGGATTCGTAGCACTCACGTTGGGTTTAGGTGTTTTTTTTTTTAGTTGAAAGCCACTGGTTCCTTCGCCTTTGTCCGTTTTTTATATATATATATTTTACCAGGTGCACACCTGGTCGGACAAAAAGGGCCACGCGGCGTTCAGCTGGATGCTGAGATGAAGCGTCGCGGAGACCAAGACGCGGAAACAAATCCTTGGATTCTAAGTCCACAACAGCAAATCCTGGGACGTGACTCGATTTCACTTGCATGTGACACAAAGGTGCTTGCATCTTGCAACATCTTTGGCAGCATGCAGCTGAGGTGCCAACGGAACCGCCTTTGTAGCATTGAACCGCGGTTTCAATTGGCGTGGCGCTCAGCCGCTGGAACGCTTTAGGGCATGGGGCAGTGATCCTTCCCAGGGTTCGCCAGCGCCAGGGTGACGAGGATGGGCAGCACCACCGCTTGGTTGCTGCGGGGGATGAACACCAGCCTGCCAGAAGGCGTTTTTGAAGGTTGGTTCTCAAAGCTCGATACTGATGGGTACAAAATCCTCTTAGGCACCACGAATGAAACCATGGTTGCTGAATCATTGTTTGTTGGTATTTGCTGGGGAATTCAGGGCGTCTTTGGTGGTGCAGGATTTCGTCCATCCACAGTATCGTGCCGACTGTTGATCGAGGACATGCAGTCTCACTGACCCTTCACGGTTGAGCATGGCAAGACGAGACGATGGCCGGAAACGCGCTTGATGGATTGTGTCCCTTTAGGGCTGGCTGGGGTTGACCGCGAGGCAGCTACTGCAACCTGGCCCTGGCTGAAAAGCCGTTGCCGGAACGCCGCTGGCCCCAAGTCCTTTCAATGAGTTGTTTTTGCTTGATGCGGAGACTACTCTGACTTTGACCGGAGAGCTTGTGATGAATCGGAAATTGGGCACAGGCCCATGGTCAGTGTGTGGTGGAAAGAGCTCCGTCAACTTCAATGTGTGTTGGGTTTGTGTTAGGGCAACCACAATGCGGAGCAAGGCTGGGATGGCGCCTGCTTCGGCAGCGCTCCTGCGGACGTTGCTCAGGGCCTTGGATCTTGCTCACTGCAGTGGAGTTGAGGCTGTTCCGAACAGAATCCCGAAATGGAAAGCGTGTTTGTCATGCCTGAGGTCATCGATGCCCAAGGGCAGGTGCTGCAGGGGGAGGCCAGCAGTTGAGCTCGCAAGCAGTTTGTAGTCCCCTCGAGCAAATTTGCGCTCTTGGGTTGTACCAGGCAGAACGGGGAGCCCCTTAGCCGAAAGGGAAGCCACCTTGAAAGCGAGGTGCCAACAGCAGGTGTCCTGGGCTCAGCGTCGCATACTTGTAGATCTTGAAGAGAGAGAGAGAGAGAGAGCGAACAATATGTGCTACAGGTAGTAGCGCTCCACGTGCAGTACGCCAAGCGATCGATTAAAATGATAAGTAAAACATTGGCATTGTACTTAGAATATATATATATATATATTTTGAGTATGGCATGAATAGTTGTTTATGCCAGCGTTGGTTGAACCATGGTGAATCATGCGTCTGTGAATGAAATATAATGAAATGATTGGAAAGTGATATGTGTAGCACAAAGTAGGTCAAAATTAAACGATATGCGGTTGTGAAATTAAGTGATGTGGTCGTTTTTGTTCAAATACATTTCACGCACTGACGCTGAAATGAGTTTGCGATTTGTGTTAGTGAATTTAAAGCAAGACGTAATGTGGAAGCTGAGCTAGAACAGATGATATTTGAATAGCGCTACCTTATTACAGTTTTATTTTGGTTATGAATAAAATGCAATATGGGAATGGGTCAAAATTAAACCACCAGGGGACCACAGGTTTTAGTCCATGTTTCCATTTACCATGGTTCCATATTGGTTACCTAATTTTGACCCACAGCCATATGACATTGCAATACGAACCTAGCTTCTGGTTGCAAGTTTGAAAGAGTGTTTGTGAGAGTGTGATGTGAACAGCGAGAATAACATGTTTGGAATGATGGAATTAGACATGTAATTGTGTATCATGTATAACACTCGCCTGTGTCTTTGTTCTTTGTGATAGTAAATGATCTCGGACAAAGTCTCTATTCGGGACGAATGCTTTAGCATGTTGTGATTCGTCATGGTTATGCGAGCCGGAGATAGGACATGCACAGATTTGAAACATGTGGTCGATGGTGTGGCTAATACAGGTCCGTCCTGCTCATGATGTTGTTTGAAGTCCCAGCATGTGTAGATGTGAATAGAGTTTGCGAGTCAAAGAAGGTTGTTCTTGTCATTTCGTTGCCATTGAATACCTTGCGCAAAGTGGAAGGCCGAGAGGGGCGCATGCAGGTGTTTAAGCTTGGTGATTGATGTCGGACCGGGATGAATAGTTTAGGCTTCTGAAATCCGGATCGAAGCTGTGCCTGCTGATCGCTGAAGAGGGCATCAACCAACTCTATCATCGCAAGGATCAAGCTAGTGACCTGCCACAACAAGCATACGGGGGCTAGGAGGTAGGATTGCAGAAGCTTCAGTCAACGCGACAGCTGAAGACCAACGTGGATGCCTTTGCCTCGATTGCCAAACTTCAGTCAGAGGTGGCCACGATGTGTTTGCTTGATCACGCTGGGTTCCGAATCGATCATGCACATAAGGCCTGTGCTTGTATCTAGTTGTTGGGCTAGCAAGACGGCGTTGGTTTCCTTTGGCTTCAGGTGGATAGTTGTTTTCAGCCATGAACACGTGTTGGTGAGCATCAAATGCAGGCTTTGGCTTGATGGTTAAGTGCTCGATCTCTGGTTGAGATATTGCTCACAGTTGGGGCCCACATCTGCTTTTGGACCGTGCGGCAGCTTGGTGTGTTGGGCATTGAACTTCGCTCTTTGGGTGCTTCGGCTGGGTGTGAGTTTGTATTGGCTGGCTGCTCAAAGCGAATGTAGGGAAGGGCACACAGGCGAATTAGACGCAAAAGTCTCCCGTGTGCGAGGAGAATCGTCACTTTCTGTTTTGAGCAGGGGCAAAGCTTTCAGGGTGCTTAATCGTCGCAGGTCACCTCATGCAGACCCATAAATATTACAACCGCTTGAAAAGACTGGAGTACATTGCTCGTTGCTGACATTGCGTTCAAGCGAACGTAATCCGCTATGCACATGGGCGGGCATGCGGCATGCGATGAGAGGCGCGAAGCTCAGGATGGGGTTCGGTAAGCCGAAGCCGGAGCCTTCAAGGCACTGCCTGTTGTGTGGCCACAATCATCTCTTTGCCAAGCTGCCTGAACACTGGCCGGTTAATGTTGGGAGATAGATTTCTATGTTTGAGGATGTGCGCTGAAACACATACATTTGTATGGACCGTATGGATGAAGCGAACAGGCAGATAGCTCCCAAGTACGTTCCCCCCGAATTTTACTTTCGGGCTTTCACCTGGTTCTCCTTCAGCTTCCGGACCTTCGCTGAATGGTGGTCAGCTGTTTGAGGGGCAAGACTGCAAAAGCAAGCCGATCAACAGAACAATGGGCATTGCGCGCAAAAAAATGCAGAGATTTGTGCTATCGTGTTGTTGCGCATCGAACGGATACTTCGTTTTTTGTGGACAGTCAACTATGCGCAGACTTGGGCTGCAGTGCTAGTCGATCAATCACTGCGGTATGTTACAAATGCATGGTTCCCTTGCTCGAAAAGCGGCAATGTTTTCAAGCGCGGGGCAAGGCCGCGGCAACTTGCGAGAAGCAACAGGGCGCCATGACGTGCAGTTAGTTTTAGGGCATCCGATCACCCTGAGGAATTGAATAGTGGAGCTGAAATGGGCACCCTTAGTCTGGAATCTCGAGCATCCCAGAGGCTCAAAGCGACCATTTGACCCATGCCCTCTTTTCCGGCGCCCTCTTTTAAGTCCCCACTTTGGGGGGGCCGCTGACAACCATGGGAGACCTATTACGCAAGGTGATTGATTTATTCCGGGAGTCAAGAAGGTGGCTCCAATCTGAGGCGTGCCCAACTTATACAAAGTCATAGCAATGGGGGTTTATGTATGCATACACAGATGCGCCGTGAATTACACACGCTAACCCCCTGAGTCCCCATCTTTTCTGGCAATGCGTTCGATTTGGTGAGGTGGTGCCGATGTCAAATTCGGTGGTCTCTTGCATTGAAGGTGTAGGGCTTCGCAGATTGCCCAATCTATGTCAAGCTCGGCCAGTGTTCGTGCAAGCATAAGCCCAGCTTACGCAAGTCGGCCGACTCTCAGGTAGAGGTCCTTGCGACGAGCAATGAATGTGCAGGGAGCTTGGGATGTTGCACTTCTGCAATGCATCGTTTGTGCTTCTGTGTTCCTGCCTTTTCCTCCTGAATTCAAAGAAAGCTTCAGAGAGAAAACCTGATTTCAGATGCTCAGCATCTTTTTTCACATGCAGAAATGCAAGCTTCTGCAGTCCCGAGCTGGAAGTTCATGTCACGATATTCCTGTCCAGAGCCCCGGACCAAGTCTCTCACCGTTTCCCATTTGATGGCGGCTAACGAAGCGGTTCAGGCTGCCTTCAGGCGGTTTGACGTGGACCAGTCAGGGTCCATCAGCCGAGATGAGCTTGGGAACATCCTAAGAGGCTTGGATAGTTCCTGGACTGATGACTCCATTGACGACTTGTTGGCGCAGGCAGATGCTAGCGGTGATGGACAGCTCCAGATTGATGAGTTCTTGAAATGGATCTTTGCGGAAGACCAGGATGTTGGAGCTGCCTACATCGGGGAGTTCACCTATTCAATCTCAAGTTGTTCCAAGCCGGAGATGAATGGAGACTATGTACAGAGGCCAATAGCTTTCAATGGCCGCCCGATCTTCCAGTGTTTTGAGAACGGGCTCCACCTCATCTATCACAAGGCCAAGAAGCAGTGGGGCATCGGGAAGGGCCCCACAAATCCTCCAATTTGTCGCTTGCGGACCGAGCGAGCGCCTCACATGGCCCGGGCCAATTGGGCTTTGTGGCAGGAGGGCCGCAAGGCATACGTGCGGGAGAGCCGAATGAGCTGTGGCTTCAAGCGCAGCCCGGAAGAGGTGAGCCACAAGCAAAACCCGGGTGGATGAAGGTTAGTAAGGGATAGTCCCAACCATAAATAGCTGCGGATATCCGCCTGCTCAATTCTTGTTCTGGGTAGACAATTTTAATGCCGGGTTTCGATTATGACTCAGGTGGAAGCGGCCTGCGAGAAGGCCCCGGAGATCATCCACCACGTTTGTGTCGAAGGCGAGGCGCTGGGGCTCTTTCGGAAGCAAGGCGAGATCGTGAATGAGAGGCCCGTGTACTTGCACGACAAAACCGGCATGTTCCTCTCCTACGACAAGGAACTGCAGAAGTGGAAGGTCAGCAAAGAGCCGAACGCATCTTGCAAAGGAGTGCATTTCAGTGAGTTGACAAAAGCCTACTCCCCGATCAAGGCAGTTTGGAAGAGCGAGGGAGAGACAGTCCTTTGGGGCACTCCGCAGCCCAGTTCTTGCGTCGCCATCCCAGAAGGCTGGAAAGATCCAGATTTCCCGCCAGATGCAAGCAGCATTGGCAACATGAAGGAAAGCAGATGCGCTGCAAAGCGCGGGGCCAGCAGGGAGATTGAGTGGGTCCGAGCCTTGACCATGTCCAAGCAGCGCACGCCGCTGTACGAGCCGGTCTTGTTTGGGGACATCACTCCAGCGGATGCGCTTCAGGGGGCTGTGGGCAACTGCTGGATGATCGCAGCTTTCGCCCAGATGGCGGAGTTCCCCTCCTACATCAAGGAGCACATCTTCATCACCAAGGAAATCTCCCCAGATGGCAAGTACGAGTTTCGGCTGTTTGACTTCAAAGCCAAGGACTGGACAGTGGTCCAAGTGGACGACTACCTTCCATGCTTTGCTTCAGACAGAGCCACGGCGGATGTCGCCTACGCGGACTTGAACGATGGGAAGATGTGGGTGGCCCTCCTGGAGAAAGCGCTTGCCAAGCAGTTCGGCAGCTACGCGCGCATCAACGGCGGGATCTCCGAGGTGGTCTACGCCATGCTCACCGGGTGCGACAACCACTTTTCCATTGGGCCCCGTGTCACTGGGGACAAGCCCATATGGGTGATCACTGCAGAGGACGGCGTCCCCGTAAGGGGCAAGGAAGAACGCCTGGCAGCAGGGGCGCGCATCCAGGACCACCTGAAAATGGAGTGGATTTTTGTTTGTTCCCCATGTTGTGCACAGAACACTCGTGAGTTTGAGCCCTCCCGTTGGGCTTCAGTTTGTTCACCTGCCAATGGTCCTATCTTCCGAAACTTCCGTTCTAGGTGGTGTTGGGTGACTCTGAATAAAATAGTTTGCTCCCAAAGCAGAGACGCACTGTAGGAATCCATTGAGCTTTTCAAGAAGTCATTTGTAGCTCCGTCGTTTTTCCCGCGTCACTCATCCTTTTGCTGCAAAACTTGCCTGCCCTTCAGCGAGGTTTGCAATGTAGATGCGGTTGCTTGGTGGTGGTCAAACCATTTTTGTTTATTATGTATATTATGTTGTCTTCATTGCCGTGGGGGCATTTGTCGTGAGAAGCTTGCGCTCCCTTTGAAGGAGTTGCGAATTGTCGGTGGCTACCAACTCAAGTTCACCAAGGTGGATGGTGAGGGCCCTGATGAAGGTGTCATTGAGTACTACATGGCTGGCAAGCCCATGGCGCGGCGAGAGACCAAGTTCCCTTGGTGCCACTTCGTGCAGCACGTCTATGACAAGGAGGCAAACAAGCACATGAAAATTGAGGACATCGATGATGATCAGGCATGGGCAAAGGCGCTGGAAGCAGAGGAGAAGAACTTTCTGCTCTCGGCGTGTCCTTTTGACTATGCCAGCGATGGCGTAGTGTCCAGCCATGTCTATTCGGTTTTGGCACTGAAGCAGGTGGGAGCTTTGCGATTCGTTTGCATGAGGAACCCCTGGGGTCGTGGTGAATGGAAAGGTCCATGGCATGAAGGAGGCGAAGAGTTGAAAGCAAATCCCGACGTGGCAGAGGCTTTGCAAGTGGACCTGGACAATGACGGAAAATTCTGGATTGAATGGGAAGACTACAAGTGGAGGGTGAAAAACTTTGCTGCAACAATGTTTCCAATGGCCACAAGACGTGGCCGCGAACGTCTTGGTGAGGATGTAGACTGATGTACTGGCTGATGTGCCACGGTGCATACGTTTCCGCGTTACTCGTTCAGCCAAGCTGTCCGAGCATCTGAGTCACTGCTGCAAAAAGGCAGTTGCCTGCTCCGGTTTTTCGCGCAGTTGCCTGATTGACTCATTGGAAGGTTGCTTCGGCTGCGATTCCCCGCTAAGATGGCTGTTGCCTTTCCCGGGCGGGTGGTTGCACCCCAGTTTTCGTTCAGGGTTGGCAACCTGTTGCAAAAGGGAGACTGGCCACGAGAGTTTGCAGCAATGGGGCTTGGTTGCTAAGCAACGGCTCGAGAAAGGGGCTGCAAAGATCTTTGCAGAGCGGGAGGAAGATAAATGCCGATGGGATAGATGCCTGTTGCCACGCACAAGGTAGCAGATGCCGGCAAATATGCATGTATGTGTTTCATCATAAAGAAAAATGAAATGTAGTTTGAATAGTTTTATTAATGTTAGTGTTTATATATATATGTATATTATTATTATTATTATTATTATTATTTAAATAACGTCCTTTAGATATGTTAAAAATGTAGTTTTAAAAACATGATAATTTAGGAGATAGGTTATAATTATTGTTGGATATAATATGGGAATTATATATAATTTTGTTTTTGCAAGTTTAATTAGTTTTTTATAATATGATATTTGGTTTTACTTAATTCATAGATTGATTTTAATATTGATTGAAAATAAAATGGAAATAATATAAGTTTGATGATGTTGGGTATATAGATTTTATATGTTGGGTTATTTTTTAGATATTTGGCGAAATATGGTTTGTATATATATATATATTTTAATCACATTGGATAATTATAGGATTTTGGATATTTGATATATGACTTGTTTGAAATATGATAATCTAAAAAAAAAAACGGATAAGAGGTGTGGATTGTTATTTATTTTTTTATTATTTATGTTGATGAATATTTTGTGATAGAGAAGAAATAATAAAGGTGTTTTAGTTGGATGTGTGGTTGGGAAATAGAAATTGGGAAAGGAATATTGATATTGATTATGTTTATTATTTTGTTTTGGTATGATTTTGATATATAATTTATTAAGATAAAAGATATAGGATTTGAATTATGGTTGGTATATTGTTATGGGAAGGTAAGGTATAAATTTTGTGATAGATTTAGTGTGTGATATGTTTGCAAGATTATGAAAATATAGTAAAATTATTTATAAAATAAAATGATATAATATTTGGGAGAAATGAATAAGGTTTAATCAAAATAATTGAATAATAATTAGATATAAATATTTTTTATAAGTTAGTATGGCTTCGAGGTCGCATTTCTCGTGTATTGGTGAGTCGTGTTTCGGTTTTTTCTTCGCGTTATGGTTTTTTGTTTGTGGTATTTTGCGCGGTTGGAAGGTTGTGAAATATTGGGGGAATATATTTGAATTTTGTTAAGAGTTCTTGTGGCATAATCCGTCTTCTTAAGTTTTCGGAGGTTATTCTTACAAAAATCGAATTTTCTTTCTTTGTCTATTTAGTTTGTCTGTGTTTCTCTTTGTTTCTCGGTTGTTTCGGTTTGTTTTTGTTTGTTTCCATGTATCCGTGTGTGTCGTTCGTCTTTCTTTCTTTGCGTCTTTTTGTGTCTCTCTGTTTGTTTCCGTGTGTTTGTGTTTGTCTATTTGGTAATATCTGTTTATGTTTTGTATTTTTTTTGTCTGCTTATGCTTGTTTTTTGTGACTGGGTTGACAAATATGACATACTTCCATGTTGCCGCGTGCCGTATTTCCCCTTTTCAAGCTCCGTTGTCTTTTTTACATTCGGTCTTTCTTTTCATTTCTGATTGTTTTTACTAGTGTTTTTGCTTGCTTATTTGTTTGCCTGCCTGCTCTCTCTCTCTCTTTTGTTTTTTTCTCTCTCTCTCTCTCTCTTTTTCTCTCTCTCTCTCTATTTCTCTTTCTCTTTCTTTCTCTCTCTTTCTCTCTCTTTCTCTCTCTTTCTCTCTCTTTCTCTTTCTTTTTCTCTTTCTCTTTTTTTTCCTCTTTCTTTCTCTTTTTCTTTCTTCCTCTCTCTCTTTTGTTCTCTCTCTTTCTTTTTTTCTCTCTTTCTCTCTTTCTCTCTTTTTCTCTCTTTTTCTCTCTTCTCTCTTTCTCTTTCTTTCTCTCTCTTTCTCTCTCTTTCTCTTTTTTTTCCTAATTTTTTCTCTCTCTCTCTTTCTCTCTCTCTTTTTTTCTCTTTCTCTTTCTCTCTCTCCCTGGTGCCGCTTTATCGTCCACGGGATGAGGGACAGCTTGCCTAGGTCCTGTTGGGGCATTGGCTGGTTTTTCCTAGGGACCGAGATATTCTTGGGGAGCCATTGCCTGCCTCGGACATCTCTGCTAGCAGCAATTCCTCTTGCCATGGATCTTTCTCTCTGTCTTTCTCTTTCTTTCTCTCCCTTTCTCTCTCTTTTCTCTTTCTTTCTTTCTCTCTTTCTCTTTCTTTTTCTCTCTTTCTCTTTCTCTTTTCCTCTTTCTTCTTTCTGTTTTTCTTAGTTTCTCTGTTTCTCTTTTTTTGGTGTATATGTTGGTTTTTGTTTTTTCTTTTGTTCTTATGTGTTTCTTTTTAATATGTTTCTCTGTTATGTTGTTTCTTTTTCTTGTTATTTTTTATCTTTCTTTATTATTTGTTTTTTCTTGTTTTTTTCCTCTTTGATTTTTTTGTGGGTATTGTTGTTGATGCAATTAATGGGTTCTCTCTAGTATGCTTTAATTTGATTAATTGTGTATTGAATTTGGGTTGTTTTTATGTTTTGGTTATAATGGTTTATAGATTTTTGTTTTTGATAATATTTATAATTTGAATTCTACAAATATGTTTTAAATTATATAAATTAAAATTATTTACATATTTTGATTTAGTATGAAGGTATTAATGTGAAATATAGACTGTTAATAAATTCGACTAAACATTTTATTAAAACGATTTATTAATAAATACATCCAATATCTTATTAGCAATAACGAATACATCCATCTAATATTCCATTAGAAATTCATGCCAATACAATCCATCAAATATATTATTAATATAGTATATTAAATAATAAATCCCGACGAATATCCTATTAAAATAATCCATCAATAAATCCCAAATATGTTCTTAAATATCCCAAACTAATTCATTAATATCTTATTAAATATCCTTTACTCAAAAATAAACAATTCGTCAATACATATCATCTACCTCCCATCAAAATAATTCATTAACCTAATTTTGCTTAATATCCATGGATATTTAATAGGATTTGTTAAAGAGTCGTTTTGGCGGCATAGCTATGGCATGATATTTGGCGAGTAATTCTAATGGAATATCAACAATTCTAATAGGATAATTGCCGGGTGGGAAATAGTATCTTTTTTATTTTTATAATTGAGATTATACAGAATTAAATTTATGTTAAGGTTCGAAATAAAGAGAAATAACGAATTATATGCGATTTATATGGTGATATAAACCTTATATTAATATGGAAATTCTTGAAAATTTGTTAAACAAAATTATATCGATATAATAATTTTTCGCTTCTAAGGATTGTATATTTTAAAATATTTACTATGAATTAGAATTCGTATTTTACATTATTTTTTTGCAAACCAACCCCAATATATATGGTTAATTATAAACTAACCTCCCAATATATTTGTTCGATTATTTATATAATGCAATTTTCGACATTGTCTATATATTTAATATTTTTATTTCTTTTAAAATTCATTTTTTTTCATCTCGTTCTATGGGTCGTCGGTCGTTAATGAAAAATAATGGTTTTTCCTATTCTAGATATATATATATATATATATATTTATTTATATAAGAATTGAATTTAATAATGGCTAAATTCCTCCATATCCTAAAGATTTCGACTCCAAATTCCTATGGGCCTTTTTAGACATTAAACAAAATTAGACAGGCGAGTTGCTCTGACGGGATACTGACGGGATCCATTAGTGACGAGTCGTTCCGACTCGATACTAACCGGATACTCGGCAAGATTCACCGGCAAGAGATACTCAGCGAGATCCATTAGCAAACTATTCTGGGATATTTAGTGGGATACTCGGCGGGATCCATTAGCGGGCTGCTTTGGTGCATGGCGGGATCCACTATTTAGAAGGATATTTCGTGGGACTTATTGGTGGGCTATTCTAATGAGATAATCGGTGGAGGGCGGAATATTTGGCGGAATCCGTTAGCGAATTATTCTGGAATCCTTAATAAGATATTCGATGGGATCTACTGCCGGCTACTCTAATGAGATATTCGGCGGGATCCACTGGCGAGCCGTTCTGGCGGGATTCGGTGGGATCCACTAGCGAGCCACTGGCGGGATACTTGGCGGGATCCAATAACGAGCAGCTCTGGCGAGATATTGGGCGGGATTTTCTGGCGGCGGGATCCACTAGCAAGCCGCTCTGGCGGGATATCCGGCGGGATCCTAAGGCGAGCCATTATAACGGGATATTCGGCGGGATTCACTAGCAAGCCGTTCTAACGGGATATTCGGTGCGATTTATTGGCGAGTAGTTCTGGCGGGATACTGGGCGGGATTTATTGGCGGCCGGGATCCACTAGCGAGCCGTTCTAGCGGGATATTTGGTGGGATCCCTTAGCGAACCATTTAGGCGGAATATTCGGCGGGATCTATTAACGAGTCGTTCTGACGGGATATTCGGCGCGATATCCATTGACGAGCAGTTCTGGCGGCGTACTGGACGGGATTCATTAGCGAATAGCTCTAGCAAGATACTCGGCGAGATCCATTACTGGCGAGTTACTCTGGCGGGAAATTCGTCGGGATTCATTAACGAGCTGTTATGGCAAGATACTAAATAGGGGGCGTAATATAGAAATATTGTAAATGTGCATTTTAATATAAAATTTGATAATTCTTTCCTATCGAATAGACAATAAATATATCGAATAATAATTAAATATTCAAAATAAATAAAAATATAAAAAATATAAAAAAGATGAAACATAAATTAATGGATAAAAAATAGATTGTATAAATACCTTAATAAACAGATAATATAATAATTTAAAATTAAAAAACATAAATTATATTAAATAT